ACGGACAATCTTATGGTTTTTCAAGCATATCATTTGTATCCACTTATGGATATCAATATCTTTACTCACTCGCTGCGCTCACTCGCAAAATATATCGATATTTACTCATGGATATACTATTTTTTAAAACCAAATTATATTCCTATAATATAATTTACCTATAGCACTATTAAGTATGGAAAAGACTACTGTATTTGATGATTGCATATATATCGCTACTATCGATATATACAGGGTGGGCAAAAATACGCCACTTTTAAAAAAAAGAAATGCTGTAATTTTTTTTAATCCAAAATCATAATGTGTATACCGAATGAAACTTGAAGTTGTAATCTAGCCAAGCATTGTGAATTGTTAACTTATATTAAAATAAAATATGTCACCTTCGTCTCACTTAAACATTTGGTGTGCCATGAAAAATAAACATAATTTGCATAATGTATCTGATACCGCCTTATGACCACCCAACTAATAGTCCTGATGCATACCCCAATGATAATTGTGATTATGGGGTATGGGCCATTGGGAGGTCTCCAGGAGATGGTATATAGACACCCAATCTCGAAATATTGCCCAAATAAAGCTGGCAATAAGGACAAGTTGAAAGAAACGTAGCCAACATTTCACTGATTCTGCTATATCAGAATGGCGACTAAGACTAAATGCTATCATCAAAAAGAGGGTAACCTCTTTTAGATCAAATACACGCCAAGTTAAATGACCTATTTCGTTAGTTTATTACTCAGGACCTCTCGAACTATATAACTACTGCAAAGTTTCGTGCATGTTGGTTGGGAAATAAAAAAAGTGATAGTGTTTTTAAAGAAAGTGACGTTTTTGGGCCCACCCTGTTCAATGTACAGGGTGTTCAATAAGTATTGCTAATTTTGTTATAATTTTTGTTATCTTGCATATTTCTTCATGAAACTTTTACAACATAAGCAACACATATCTGACCTTTTTCTATCCAAATTTCTGGACAACCGACTTAGTATTGACAAAGTTCTGCTTACTAGGGTAACCATTGTCACGGATACGCGGGGCAACCTTAAGGGTTCACATGAAGAATTATTGTTATACATCAAATAAACATGTTGATGAATAAAAACTGTTGATATGGTCAAATCTTGATGTTTTCAGTTTGAATTTTATGTATTATCTAACAGCAGAGGAAAGAGATCTGAGAGGAATATCCCACTAGAATCTCAATCAGCGGATGTCTGCAGTGAACACTGCACATCCCTAGCCACACACTTCAACGTCCCCAAAGAGCAATATCGACCTATACGGTTCACCAGGATAACGGCCCTGCTCACAGATCCTCTATTCTCCTAAATACAATAACAGAGCTTGGCATTGGCCCACACAGCATATTTCCCAGATAAGGCCCCACTTGATTTTGTTGTATTTGCCCCAGTGAAAAGGGGATCTGAGAGGAATATCGCACCAGAATCTCAATCAGCTGATGTCTGCAGTGAACACCTCTAGCCACACACTTTAAGGGTGGCTTCAAAAATGTGTACCACGAGTGGGTCGCCAGACAGCAACTGTGCATTGACGCTAAGGGTGCCTGCCTATTTTGAGCACCTCATGAAGTAAATATGGATCACGAGGTGACTCTGGAATGGATTATTTATAACTGCACTGCATATCCCAAGAGTTAAACGGCATTAAATGATACTGCTTTCAACACTCAAAATGTCGTCAAAAGTGACGTCAGAAAGCCCCGCATATCCATGATACTGGTTACCTTAGTAACCATAACTTTGTTAATACAAATTCGATTGTCTTGCAACTTTCATGGAATAAAGTCAGATATACAGGGTGTTCCAAAAGTAACAGGACTGGTGCTGGCATTTTGTTAAATATGTACCAATCGTCTTAAAAATTTTACATAATATACTTTCATGTATCGTTACTAACACTGCAAAATTTCGACAAAAAATATGTAACTTGGGTAGAGTTATGGTTGCTATGGTAACATGACATCACAATACCCGGGGCAACATTCCGCGCAGAAGGTTACATTAAGACAGAAAGAAACATTAAGCATTATGTACATCCCATATCAAAGTTAAAATGCAACAACAGGTGGGATTTACATTTGTTTTACATAATTTGATATTCCTATGTATCCTATGTACTTTGGAAAATAGGCTCCTCTTTGGTCAGTAGAAGAGTAGCACTCTGTATCCATGACTCAAACACATGATTGAACCCATTTGAGGACATGTCACGCATGGTCCTTGGAGAAGGTCATTCTCATTTTTAAAGATCTTACAGCAGTGATTAGCATTCCATTCTCCATATAAGTAAAGATTGGATGTTGCATGATCAGGAGAGTATGGTTTTAGAACTCAAGACCAGCTCCTCTATAGCTGCATGGTCTTTAATGGTGACCTGCGGGCAGGCGTGTTATGAAGGTGGATGACTAGCTACAAATTGGGTCTTTTCAAAAACTCAACCATGAATTGTTCAGACTGTAATTCATAGTGATATTCTCGGAAATTGAATAAATATAATTATAATGATATTATACTTGAATCTGGGTTTTATAGCAACACCTTTACATCAAAGCAACTAATAAAATAAACAAGAAATGTTTTATTATAATAGGTGAATTAGATACTTTCTTCAGTAATACAAAAATGTTAGATATCACATTTTCAGAAAAAAGTTGCCCCGGGTATTGTGATGTCATGTTACTATAGTAACCACAACTCTACCCGCATTTCATCATTTTTTCTGAAACTATACAATTTTAGTTGCAATACTTCAAAGTACAATTTGTGAAAATTTGAAGACAATCGGTGCAAAATTGACAAAATGCCAGTACCAGTCCTGTTACTTTTGGAACACCCTGTATGTACCTTATGTTGTGAAAGTTTCATGAAGAAAATGCAAACAGAACAAAAGTTATAGCAAAATTAGCAATACTTATTGAACGCCCTGTACAAGTAGTGTAAGAATAGATTGAATTTAATGCTGATATCAATAAATATTATACATTTACAGTTCACACTTATATGTGTAATTGACTGATTTTTAAATAAAAGTTTATTTCTCAAATTTTAGTGATGGATATGCCAATATGGGTAGCAGTGCTGGTGATGGGCGGAATATGCACAATATATACAGCTATTGTAAGTGTTTAAACGATAGCGCAATATACTGTATAGCCTAGTAGTCAATGTAGAGGATTGGTATCGATATGGAGAACTGAATTCAACAATATATACTGCTATTGTTAGTATTTAAACGATACCGCAATCTATAGTTAATGTAGAATTGTATGTTATTTAGTGATTTTTTTCTACCCAAAATATTGTTTTGAGAATATACGATTGTCTCTTAAACCCAAAGCCTTCCTCATTTGGGAGATCCCAAATAACTCTTCTAGCGAACTCAACATATTGGTTCTTAGATACAGGAGGGTAATCTTTAAATATTTAGATTTTAAATCAAGACATTATATTTTAGTGATGGAACTCTGGTCAAGATTATGGTAGTAGAAACTACTTAAAGCGCCTAAGTTCTACCATCTCACATGCATAAGGGCATCAGGGCTTGATAGCATATGAGTTGAACTCATATTTTTCTTATAATGACCATCGTAAAATAAAATAGTGCTTGACATTTCTCATATTTCTTTTTATGAAATTCGATGACATTTATCCATGCTGGTTCATCGTGTATGGACTAATATTCTTTGTAACTACCATTATAAAATAGGGTGGTATTCGTGCAGTAGTATGGACTGATGTTTTGCAAACGTTGGTAATCATAGCAGGATCACTAGTAATTGTTATCCGAGGAATGATGGAAGTTGGTGGTTTTGCAAAAGTCATGCAGATTAACAATGATGGAGGACGTATTCAAGCATGGAAGTAAATTAAATGCTTTTGAAATAAGTACAGTACTTAGTTTGGTAAAAATATTAAAATTATACAGAAAGTTAGTTTAACTATTCAGATGCGATAACAGAAATTAAAACCAGAGACTGTACAAAGCTACAACAATAGAAAGCAAAATTCAGTATATGTTTGAGAAAATGCAAAGGCAAGCTGCCCATGTTATTATGCCATCTTAAAAGATAAAATGGTATTTGTAATGTAAATTAAACTTGTGTCTATGTCTAAGAAATTGTTACTTAACTTTTAGTAGTTGATAAGTGGGCTCGGTATCTAATACTTCTTTTCTCTTGTATTGTAATTTAACTATTGTTAACTCATCACTGTAAATAACAATAAAACTAAACTTAATTATAATTGAATGTAAATATGAAATCCAGTGTTATACCAGTCCTGTATTTGATCATATTATAAAATAATATTTTTTTAGTTGGGACCCAAGTCCGTTTGTTCGCCATACAGTCTGGTCTCTTGGTCTAGGAAGTGTGTTCTCGTTTGGGGGTGGCTATTTCCGAGGCCAAGTAACAATTCAACGTTATGGAAGCGTTGATTCAAAGAGAAATGCACAAATGTATGTTCATTGTTTCAAAAAGTAAATGGTCATATCGCTTCTGTCAAAAACAAAGCAAGCAGATCTTAATGAGTACTATACTGTACATGTTGATTCGTTTATATGTTTATTTCAAATTAGCGAGACTGTAAAATCGGAGCGTTGGTTGATAATTATTTGATAACATGTAAATAATATAAGGTCTATGTAGGCTATCAAGATATTGAAAAGCATTGATTCACTTAGGTTCACTTTAGCCGTGTTTAAGAATGTCAAATCATGCCATTTTAATTAAAGTCAAACTTGGATTGGTTATGGTGTCATTCTTATTTACAACTACACGGTACAACTAGTGGTAACTTATTTAGATTTGTTAATCATTTCTGTTTGGAAAAATGACATCACTTATTAGTGAGTGATTCTGTCACACTAAGAACTTATAAAGTCCTTTCTTAGTTCGATCCCATTCTAATTTTAAAATATCATAAAACTGTCTACTATTCAGTAAATACTTTTGCTAATTTAATTTTAGATCAGTGTATATATCTCTTGTGATATTGGTATTGAGCTTATCATTGTATACGTTTGTTGGGTTTGTAATGTATGCTGTTTACCACAAGTGTGACCCTGTAAAGAGTGGCAGGGTGCGGAACCATAATCAGGTATGAATGTGTAATGGGTATGGGTATGTAAAAGGTATTAGACATTGTTTCTTTTCACGTAAGATCATGGTTTTGGGCTATATGGGGTTTGTTTTTCTTGACTGGTATGCACTTAGAGTTTGCCTTTTCTCGCTAGGTTCCATTACAACCTTTCGTCATTTCCTTTTGGCACTAGACCAGTCGGTCAGGTTTGTAACCAACATTTAAAGATTTTATAACTGACTTATCTTATTGATCTACGATAAATGAATCAATCATGCGTGACGACACAATGAAAAATATAGATCATGTATCGAAATTTTGAGCTGATTCATTTGATTGAAATTTTTAACTATATAAAAGGTTGAACATTAGTTATTTCCTTACGTAAATAAGATGTAAAATATTGCAGAATCGATATTCTAAGTTTTAATTTTGATGTCAATTACAGTTCAAATCTGTATTGTGCCAACGGCAAGACTATACATAGCCTCTCGGTTACCAAATAATGTCTTGTTATTATGTATATCTATTGTTAATCAAAATGATGTCACTCTATTGTTAATCAAAATGATGTCACTCAAATTTTTAGCTGATGCCTTTATTTGTGACGGACATGTTATCATCAGCTCCTGGGGCAGTTGGCTTGCTCGTAGCATGTGTCGCAAGTGCAGCTCTCAGGTCAGTCAAGGTCTATTTTATATATTAGGTTTTATTTTGTCTCGTGTTATATCATCAAAAGGGTCCATATGCAGAGGTGGCGGCAAAGGATGTGGACGGATGTTTAAAATTCATGTGTACGTTCTAGTAATACAATACACATCTTTGTATATCGCGTATCTTCTTTTAATAGAGGACAATGAATATATAGTCATACATAACGTTTTGAAGTATTCCCTAACACTCAAAGGTCATGGCTTTTCTTCATCATATTACACGTATGCAAGGGATTATCTCATTAGAATGAAATTGACAGGCATATCAAAGATTTCGAAAACAATTGTTGTCAGGAGAGGGGAGATTAGGGGAGGGGGTGGTTTATAACTATATAATCACAGTGTATATTTTGTAATCAAATTACATTTTTTGCAAGTCAACATTCTATGTTACCATATTATTTTACAGCACAATGTCATCTATACAAAACGCAATGGCAGCCGTCTGGCTGGAGGATTTCATCAGACCAATTTATAGAAAAATATACAATATGGAAATATCTGATTTCAAAGGAAAACTTGTGGCTCAAATTATAGGTTAGTTCCTGAATTCAAAATTAGAACCTGAATTACCGTGTTTATGTAATTGAGCACCTATTTAATATAATTTCAGTAATTTCAGACTTACCCCTCGTTACCCCCCTATCACACCAAACTAGTTCTTACCCGTTCTTGCCAGTCCTACGAAAACGTCGTCAAACGGGCTCAATCTGGCTGTGGTCGGAAAATATGTCTGAAATAATTAGCTTCTTCGTTCTTAAACAGTCTTCAAAACGTCCATCTCGTTCGCAGTTCGTTCAGGTCGCACCACGTCGGATTGCAACGTCGTAGAACTTAGAACGCGTCCCTTAGTCTAGAAGGTCAACATGACCTGATTACAGAACGGTATGGTCGTCATCGAATTTTGAATCAATTCAAAATTCTAAAATCACATTCCCGTCTGAGAACGTTCATAAAGTTCGTAAATAGACCTTAGAAAGTTGCAGCTACGTTCATTCCGTTCGCACACAGTTTAAAACCAGTTTTGAAGAACGCAGTGGCAACTTGTTTGGTGTGATAGCTATATTTTTGCTAACTCGTTCAGAAGCAGTGTTAAATACATGCCTTATCAGTTTAAACCCGTTTGCAATTAGTTCTACCTCGTTCTCAACACGTCCGCAGACAGTTCAACACGTTGTTAAAACGTCCCTAGTAGGATTGAAGTACGACGGTTCCGTTCGTAGTACGTCCAGCTCGTCGTTAGTACGTTGTCACTCGTTCTAATTGTAGAACGTGATGACCACGAGAACATTTTGAGCAGTGTCTAAGTTCTAAAGGACCTACCCGTTCGAGTACGTTCGATGAAGTTTGTAAATAGATCCCAAACGGTTCTTAGTAGGTCCAGTCCGTTCGTATACAGTTGAAGCCCGTTTTCGAGAACGCAGTGAGAACTAGTTTGGTGTGATAGTAGGGTTACTTGTATTTCAAAAATAATGATGATGAAAATATCCAGTAAAAATGTATAACGTTTATGTATTTCAGCAATTGTTTTCGGGATATTAGTTATAGGCGTCGCATTATCAGCTGAATATCTTGGATCGACCTTGGTCACTTTACAAGTGCGAATCGGTGGAATTGCGGGTGGTCCAATAACTGGACTATTTCTCCTCTCAGTATTCTTTCCATGGACAACAACACCGGTATTTACACCAACTTCTCTTCTTTTGAGCCCACTAAATTAAACGTCGGGTCCTCCTCTGCGAATATGACAAATGCTGCTCCGTCAATGGATTATTTATTCTATTATTCGTGAATCATATTCAATCTGTGTTGTCTTAACAAGAGTCGATTTTGGAATTATTTCCAGGGGGCTCTCATTGGCACAATCGTCAGCATGGGCATAACAACATGGATAGGGATAGGTGCATTCTTGCATCCGGGTCCCAGTACTGCACTTTCGTCATCTGTTGAAGGGTGCCCATTGGTTAATACAACAACTGTTGCCATGGTATCTGATCTAACAACATCCGGTTTTGTATCAACTACTCAACAATCAGGGTAAGCATGACTCAAGAAGCATATTCAGATTTTTAAACTTTCAAATTCTTCTAGATCCATCATTATTATCATACCTGTTGAGTACCTATTCGTCACTTCAAAGCCATATTAAAAATCTATTTTAATATATGATAATCTAGGTATGCTATTATTCAAAATTCAGTTAATTTATCAGAAACGTTTTGTTTTTCCTATAGTTTCTATTATGTACCATCTTCCTCTTTTCTCTTCCTGTCACCTTTAGTTTTGACAACATATATAGATATCAGGTTTATATCTTCCAATTCATATTCATTTTTAGTATAGCACCTCCAAATACTGTTCTGTATATATTGTACATGTATGTCATCATGTACACTTAATTCGTAAATGTTTCATTTTGTTGACCTTTTGATGTTTCCTCGTTGGCACTTGCGCACGCACATTTTAGAGTCTTCTCTTATCTATGCTTCAGAAATAGCGGTAGCAGCAGTATAATAACTCTTTATAGACTTTCGTACATGTGGCAAGGCGGGTTCGGTGCATTAATGACGATTATATTTGGAATGATCGCCTCTTCTATACAACTCTGTGTTACAGGTGAATGAATTCCGTTAACTGTCGACACATCAGACTTAAAATGAATTCCCGAATGCCATAGACAGCTTGAATGTTTTGGTGAAATTGTATATGAATATCACACATAACAGAACTATATATATAATCGTTGTAGGCCTTTTCCAATAACGACTAGTTATCCAGGAAAACACAGATCTTATCAAAATACTTTTAATAATCGGCATATTATTCAATATTAATAAATATATATTAATAAAAATCCAGATTGGACCCTAGTGAAATAAGAACATTAAACACAAAATTAATACCATGGATATAATTTGAAGGATTTCCTCGGCTGGACGACGTCAATCAAGATTTGGTGTTTAACTGCTGTGATAAAATTTGTTGTTGTTGTTCTGAATCCACGAAACAATGCTGTAGGGCAACAGGAAAAAGCCACTTAGTTGAGGTACATAAAAACATAGATACGTCTTCCTTTATTTTGTGTCCAAAATTTTTTTAATGACTTGACAATGGCTCATATACATTATTCCAAAAGACGTAGAGCGTGAAATATTACTTAACCGATTACTTAATTTTTGACATGCAAGTTAAACGTATTTATTATGATAATTAATGAACCGTGTGGATTTATTCCCTGTCAATCAGATTGATCATTGAGTTCAGTTCAGTATCCTGGGATGCTAAACAAATCTTTATTTTTTGCTGTATTTACAGAAGCTTGATTGCATAACTGATACCGATTGTGTACCTGGGAGTGAGTACTATTACAATAGCAAGGAATATTTATCAAGACATTCACCCGGACAACTAGATATTGATGAAGTAACCAAGATATGAATGCATGTGTACATAATTTATAACCAAAAGAGAAAGCGCAAAAGCCATATTGCATGTGTGTTTATAAGTGAAAGAGCTATATATGGTCTTTTGATCAATAGATCGGCAAAAGTAGATGAGGATCATGTTTTATTTTATCTCTGTTAGACCCTAACTGCCAGGCAGCGCGCCAGTATATAAAAGAACACATTGAGTGCTTGAAACTTTTATAGATTTGTTAATTTATTAGATTTATCTTCACTCTCGTAGAGAGTTTCTTACTGTAGTTGTTTCAAAATATTTGAAACTCTATTTAAATTCTACTTGATTTAACTGAAATCGAAGTCTTAACAATATCAAAACAAGGCACAGTGTGAACAATATCGTACCTAATACATAGCAGTGTGGATTTGATGACCCAGAAAGCAAGATGGCTGCCGAAAAGTTAATCAGTTCAAGAAATTCTTACCATATATAACATATGCAAATCATTTTAAGTGGTTTTTCTGGAATCGCGATGACAAGATTTAACTTTGTGTTAATTTTTCGACAATGTTTCTACTAAGAATTGAGTAGATGAACCCATGCAAATATAAATAAACAGCCGGTTATGAGAAAGCGCCAAAAATTAGAAGGCATATTGTATTTGTGTTTATTTGGCGACGATGTTTCCACAAAGCAAATTAGTAGATGGAGCAATATATTAAAAAATATGAGTGCAAAATATACAGAAAACTTTTAAATTAAGCAAACAGTCAAGTGTTACAACGATGATTTCTATAATAAATGATGTTAAAACAAAATCAACTTTGATAAGCAAATAACAAACGATGAGTGGTTAAAATTATTGTTATATTATATTTATTTTCCTTTCATATTCTAAACGAAGCTTCAGAAGAAAAACAGGTTGGTGATGCTGTCAGTAATGTGTCTCGCATTGTCAAAAACGATGACATGTACACGTTTAGCTTTTCAGGCTTTAATATAAAAAAATTGACGTTCACTCATCTCTATCGGTCAGGAAATTTTGAAAGGTGACCAATTAATATCTCCGGGAACGGGGCGGATGATATCTGCCCGCAACCGGGCTAGATCGCAATGTGTACAATGTATCATGCCCGCTCTTAAAATATGATATGAAATCCCGGATGATTTCAGCCCAACCGCATTCAAGTATGAGACACATGAGAGGTTTTGGATATGGGGTATATCCTGGGGGAAATATAGATATTTTACCTATGGCCCGGAGGGTCCTAGATAAGATATCAAATGTCCCGATTGATATACCCCATATCCAAAACCGTGCATCACATAACTTATTTATCCTATGATAAGTGATTTATATATAAAAAAATATCAAAAATTGACGTTCACTCATCTCTATCGGTCAGGAAATTTTGAAAGGTGACCAATTAATATCTCCGGGAACGGGGCGGATGATATCTGCCCGCAACCGGGCTAGATCGCAATGTGTACAATGTATCATGCCCGCTCTTAAAATATGATATGAAATCCCGGATGATTTCAGCCCAACCGCATTCAAGTATGAGACACATGAGAGGTTTTGGATATGGGGTATATCCTGGGGGAAATATAGATATTTTACCTATGGCCCGGAGGGTCCTAGATAAGATATCAAATGTCCCGATTGATATACCCCATATCCAAAACCGTGCATCACATAACTTATTTATCCTATGATAAGTGATTTATTAACGTTAAAACATCATGATAATCCCTACTGATAAAATTAAAAGATTTCTAAACTTGGTTTTAACTCATGTTGACTTTAAACTCATGCTTGACTATTATAGTGCTATAAGTACATCTTTGGGGAACGGCGTATCCTATCGTTCACGGAGCTTTTTATTTAAACTCCGTTCACGAGTATACTTGTTTTTGGGCTCTTGTCCCAAAGATTTCGATTATATAAGTTTGCATAATCAGGATTTTGCGCTTTCATTGCGTAATATTATTGCGTAATATTATACAATGGTTACGTAATCGTTTCTTTTGTATACAATTACGCAACCCCTTTTAACGATAGATAGCCGTCTCGTTGGACAGAATGTTAGTACAAATGCACTCACCTTCGGTTCGTGCTTTGTACAACATTCTGTTCAACTCGTGCTGAATTTCACCATATTGAATGGCCTATCATTATTCATTCCTTAAATTGAACATTTTGAACCAGATGACCAAGATTGGTATGGGATAAACAGATCATCCTATAGTCGGTTCAGTATATTGGGATTATTCCTTGGCCAAAATAATATATCTAGCCTCGGGACCTATGGCCCTCGGGCAGATATATTATATTAGCCTCGGGATAATCCAAATTTCCTGAACCACATAATGGATAATCTCTATAGATAATTTAGGTTCTGTTTAGGATATTGAGATTATCCCGAGGCAAATACACAAATATATTACATCTGACCATTATCGTAATGCATTATGCAGTTGTATATAGTGTACATTTATCCTATGACAACTGGCATTCCATAACAACGTAATATATAAATGATATCTTGGGGTAGCGAAACTTATCTCCCGCTGAATTCCCCAGGGTTTATCTCGCATATATAGAGATTATCCTATATGAGGTTCAGGATATTGGGATTATCCCGAGGCCAATATAATATATCTGCCCGAGGGCCGTAGGTCCCCAGGGTAGATATATTATATTGGCCAAGGGATAATCCTAATATCCTGAACCGACTATAGGATGATCTGTTTATCCCATACCAATCACATTGTTCAATTGGCCAAAGTTCAGAAACGTTGCAACCAATCGTGGACTTATTTTAAAATATTCATGTCCAGTTTTGTATTCTTGTTTCTTTTCCTGCTCAAATCTTTGATTATTAACGGGGTATACTGCTCCTTCCCTTCTTTAAAGCATCAAACAGGTCGAGATTGTCTGCGTTTTTCTCCCATTGTCGTTTACAGTATGCGAACGTTACAAAAAAGAACCAATACGGGAACAGCGATTATGACGTAGCGGGCAGATATACTATATCTGCCCGCTCGGAGCGGTACGTAAAGCTGATGAAAATATAAGTTTTTACAAACCGGCTTTATGTACCCGTAACACGTCCAAGTATGGGATAAAAAGCTTTCTATACTTAATTCGCCGACTCAGCTGAAACGAAAGCTTTATCCTAACCCCTATTGTTACACAACATTTTAGAAACCTGCTTTATCCTCTGCCAAGTAGAGTTTTAGGGAGATAAGTTGGTAAGATATATCCCGTATCCTGGTTTTGAGGTTTCCATATCCAGAACATCCATATCTCCCACCATATCTCCCGCTTCGGTGCATATCTTCCCGCTTCGGCGCATATCTTCCCGCTTCCGGTAAGTAGTGGAAATGCAATAAAATGACTTTGCATATGAATGATTTGTTTATTTGTACACCTTGTACTATTGAAATGGGCATATGCCCCTGAAAACTCTACTTGGTATAGGATAAAGCAGTTATGTACGGTCGGTTTGGATATTGGGTTCATCCCTCGTGAGATATGCACATCTACCTTCGGTCCCTACGGTCCCTCAGGTAGATATGCATATCTCCCTCTGGATAAACCCCATATCCAAAACCTCCCAGTACATAACCCTTATTTATATACCTCGAACACATTCAAGTATAGGATCTCACCATATTTCGTTCATCTTAAGTGAGCCATGAAATTCGGACCAAAAATCCTCTTCTACTTACATAAAATGGGCAATTTTCGTAACAAACTAGCATAAAGGTCATAATTTTTTAATGTTTGTCCTATTTTAAAGAAATTCCCCTCTGCAAGCTGCCCCCTCCTATTACTTTTCAAATATGCCCCTGATAGTAAAACCTGATCACTTATGAGCCACCCTGTAAGGTTATTTGTAAGTAATAATCTCAGTTTAGTACTGTTCAGATTTACTTTATCATACTTAGCAGTCCATCAGCGTGATAACAGGTTCCTAAGTTCGACGTATTCAAACACTGTCAATGCGATTCACATACTATATCAATGCGTATAATGTGTTTGTTCTTTGAAAGTGGGCTTCTCATGAAACACACGACCGTATGGTTTCTTTAGGTGTGATATCCTGCAACCGTGAAGCCATAGGTCTTAAGAGAATATCGTCCTATGTATAACTTTGCACATGAAGTACTAACTGCATAGTTAAAACAAGGGTACTCGTATCAGGGATTTTAAAGACTCTAAACATATACAAAGAGGTGAGTGTTTTATCGTAGACACTTTGATATATTAAAGGCAAAGTCTTAAGATTTAAGTAGGGGTTTGTATTACTTTTATATAGTAGGTCACATAGCGAAATGTGTTTTTGGTTAAACGGGGTTATTGTTGTTTTTTCTGTGATACTCTGACTATGAGTACATGCTCCCGTTGTGGAAAACAAAATAAGCAGTTGCTTTTGACTATACAGATGGGTATGAACTTATAACTGCATCTCAAAGAACTATACTGAATCATTTGACTCAAAACAACGAACAGTGGGTTTCATTTAATTACGGACACTACTGACACCGAGTCGATATAATCTACTTCAGAATTAAAGTAGATTGATGTTTAAAACGTCAAATACACGTAATATACTATTCATTAGAATTGACTTCCTATGCATCCTACTTATTGGCATTTATCTATTTAGCTGATATTTGGATATGGCAGAGAAGGATAGTAATGCATCCCAGGTCACCCAACCTGTAACTTTACCCGTGCAAAGTGAAGGCAAAGGAGGTACTACCCAGCATGCCCCTCAACCTGAAGTAAATACACAGAATCAGGCGCCACCTGCCAATGGAAATGATAAACTTTTCACAATCGGAAGCACAGAGAAAAAACGGCCTGATTATGAGACTCAGAAATCCTATGGATCTGTGACATTTGCAGGTGAGTAAAGTGTAACTTCCTGTCTACCCAGAGCCTCAAGAAAATTAGTCACAGCATTTTTATTCAAAGTGGCCTGTATCATTCATAATATTAATTTGAATCAATTTAAGAACATATGGTCAAATCCTATGCCAAGGGCTGATGTGAACTTCACTCTCCCCCTCAGTAGGAATCGAACCTGCAACCCCCCAAGCAGGGGCGGATCTGGGAACCAACAAGGGGGGGGGCCCAAAATTCTGGTCTGAGAAAAAAATGTCCGCGCTTGCGCGTAAAAAAATTTTGGGCCCCTAAAACCAAAATGTGGGCCCAAATTTGGAAATTTTGAGGCCCATTTTCTTCAAAATTTGGCCTAAAATGAAAAAATAAGGCCTTGGAAGGCCCATTTATGACCAAAAAGACCCACTTTTTGGGGCGACAAGGCCTTTTTTTGCTCAAAATTTTTTTTGGGCCCAATTTTTTTTTCTGGGCCCACCCGAGGGGGGGGGGGGGGGCCCGGGCCCCTGGGCCCCCCCCCCATATCCGCCAGTGCCAAGTCCAATTACATTATTGTAACTGTATTTAATACTCCTCTCGCCCATTCTTTTTCTGGGTCGGTTGCAAGAAGGGAAATGGCTGTTTATTAGAAAATACACCTGCTACATGACCCGCAGAAGATTGAGAACCCGAAGTTGGGGACCTATTGCAAGAAAGAAACAAAATTAAGATTCTATCATGAATAGTCATATCAAACTGGGACATCTCTCTTCTTTCCTTATTCTAATAGACTCAATTAAATGAACGGAATAGTGGCAGGTACTATTCGTATGTCTAAGTTAATGAATTGGCCATAAGAAAGTAGGTTAATCAGTCGACCGTCAGTTGAGTTCTCGAATGCTACCCTAGTATGCAATGCCGTCGTTTCTGTCAAACAATCATGACTACTTTTATGAATTGTGTACGGATGCCAATGCACTCAGTGCAGATTCCTTTTAATAGTAAAATAATTCCAAATTGTTATGGGCATTCCATGCATCTATAGTACTCTAGGATAGTAAACACATTTCTTTACTATCACTCAGAAAGGCCAATGAGATCCTCTCGAAAGATGAACCATTACGTGTTTATTAATTGATACCGTATATGTCTGAATTACACATATATTCTAACCTTCAAATCTTGTTTGTTCCAAAACTTTTACATTGAGCTTTCACACCAAACACTTATTTATACAAGATAAAAGACTCGGTATTAGTTAATGGTATACTTTTGAAGGACGAGACAAAATAATATATTGATATTTAAATGATGTTCAACCCCTTTGTAGCTACAACATAGTATTAGACATCAAAAAGCTAAGCTTATATCGCGAATGTTACTTTCGGCTGTCGGCTACCGAATTAACCAAATATTTCATGGGCATCTCATTTAAATATGAATAGTACTTGTCACTATTCCATTCATATTTAAGTAAGTTGGTCATAATTCTTTTTAAATATACAGTTACGTATATTGTTTTTCAGACTAAATATATCAAAACAGATGAATACAATGTTGCAGAGGCAAGAGATGCTCAAATTATCAAGGAAAATCAGTTATTCAAAAGTCATACCGTTTAAAGCATTCCATCGGTGATAAAATAGTAGGTTAACCGGAAGTCGACAGCCGACAGCCGAAATCTGAGTTTGGTATGCTAAATGTCCAAGTTTCTTCAATGATACTACACTCCTATATCATTTACATGGCCAAAATCACAATGGTCATGGTCAAAATGACCTTTATCATGCTGAAATAGCTTTCTCAGCCCTCTGAAAATGTGACTGAAAATTTTAGAAGGCTGAAAAGCTATTTCAGCATGGTAAGGGTCATTTCGGCCAGGACCATTGTTATACTGGTCATGTGAATAATATGTGGGAGTGGTAAAACGGATTGAAGGTTAGAAGATGAAGATTAGACGTCAAAATGTGGAAGACGTCACCTTAAAAAGCACACCATGTTCCATGATCCAAAATCCTGATTTTAATTTCTGAAAAATGGGATGTATGATCAATTCACCATAATTGAAACAAGGGGATGCTTTTTATTTTTTTACCAGAAAACTTTACATACGAAACAAATGACCATCCTGTTAAACTTCTTAACTTAATAAGTATGACATAAAATGATGAAAGCAAAATATATTGTAAAATAACGACTTTTTCAGACTAGCTCCAAATCTTTCTTGTCTTTCGAGAAACTTTTATCGTAAGAGTGTATATTGAAAGAATGTATTGCGTTATCGAGAAAAGTTCATCAGTCCATCTCTTTCATATAAAATATCAGCCCAGGAGACTGTTCTTCAAATCGAGACTTGTCCTTTTAAAGTACCATATATATTACCATCACGAGTCCATTATTAAATTCAGTTTTATTTCTCAAATACAATGCTTTGCGTTGATGTCATGGTGATGAAATAACCTGCTTGTTTTAATAACTGTTTTCCAAACCCGAAAACATCTCAGGAGTATCACATTTGGAACAGAAAAGAATGCCCCAAAATCAAATGAACATGTGACTTATCATGATCAACCAGCGTGCAGCCATATAATAAAACAATTGTATGCAATGCCACAAAACAGGCTGTAATGAGACTTGGATGTATTGTTATCAAGTTATATATGCCCTTCTCAACAATATTAAATATGTTTTTATCGTACACTTATGTTTAAAAATACATTTCAGAGACTTCAAACACTCACACATAAAAAATTGAAATACAACCACAATTGACAAAACATTTAAGTTTATAGCAGCGTGTCAAATGGTTGAGTTATGAAAGTGTGTCATTTAACACAGTTACAGTGACAATCGAGACACGTTTCTATTAGACAGTGTGTCAATGCATTTTGCGTTGGAGGTACCCAGTATGGTATGTCAAAGCACTAGTAACGTTTATTTCACATGCCGAAATTGTGTGCACCCTCTCAAAAAGTTCGTTGACACTTATTTTTAGTATTAAATACAGGGTGATCGAAAATAATGTCCAAGCATGAGGGACACCTATAACGCCACAGGCGATTTGGTTCCTCAACTGTTCCTTATCTGCACTTGACTAACTATTGGCGATAAAATCTATTGATGAAAAGCTTGTTTCATTTAAAAACGTTATATTCCATAATAAAAATTCCTTATTAGAATATAACAGGTTACGTAAAACGTAACCGATCGGTGATTCAGAAATAATATGCCTGCTTGTTTTAATAACTGTTTTCCAAACCCGAAAACATCTCAGGAGTATCACATTTGGAACAGAACATAATACACTAAAGTCATGCTTCAAATAATGTTTTTAATGTAATTAACAATTTTGCCAGATGGATTATGTTTACTTTGAGCGCCAATTTCATTGTAAAGTTGTTTTATTTTGGAAAAGCATAGCATTTCTGAACCACTTGTGATATTTAAGCGAAACTCTGGGAAATATTAAACATTGGAGCAAATACACTTATGCCAAAGATGAGGATATATTACAGTGAGCATGCATAATAAAGCAGTTATTTGAGTATACCTAGGTCTACTTTTGAGTCACCCTGTATTCCTAGGTAGTGATTTTGTTTACAGTACTTTTGGAGAGGAGCGTATGTAGCAGCCCTAAAATTCGATACCATTTGCATGATATTTAAATTATTTTCCAAGTCATGAAAACACCATCCTGTATTCCTAGATGGTGATTTTGGTTACAGTACTTTTGGAGAGGAGCGTATGTAGCAGCCCTAAAATTCGATACCATTTACATGATATTTAAATTATTTCCCAAGTCATGAAAACACCACCCTGTATTCCTAGATGGTGATTTTGGTTACAGTACTTTTGGAGAGGAGCGTATGTAGCAGCCTTAAAATTCGATACCATTTGCATGATATTTAAATTATTTCCCAAGTCATGAAAACATTGTAAATCATTTTTATTACAACACACTTTGAACTTTTGCCCGAGTCATGGAACCATCGTTCATATGAATATATATACAAGTGCCAAATGGAGAGGACCGAAAGTTGTAATCGAACCATTAGAAAACTCCTAAGTGTATGCCAGTCATACGAAAAATAAATCTCGTATTACCCAAAACCATGATCAAACGTGAAAAGAAACAAAGTCTAACACCCCCTTTTTTCACCATTTTAGTACTATCGCTAATATGCTATTTTACACTTCAGATACACACGATGAAGTTGAATTTGATGATGGAGGCGGGGGTTGTTGTAGTAGATGCTTTAAGAGAATATTTCCCTATGGTTTCAAGAGTGAACTGAAAGAGCTTTGGATACTAGCATGGCCCATGGTATGTAATGTAGTACAACATCTTATGATATATGCTCTCCCCTCCAAGAGTGTGGAAACCCTGAAACTCAATTCGACAGTCTGTTTATGTTTGATTTTCCACAAACTACAACATGCAGTCCAATGGGGGATTTTGCGTTGGAGGGTAGTGCATCTCAAAGGAATACTTGCAAAGGGGCGTAGCCAGGATCAGAAAATTTGGAAGTCTTTGAGTTTGAGTAGAAAGGGAACTACTTGTAGTATTGGCCTGACACTTTATTTAATGGTTTTAATTTAAAAAGCGTCTGGACTAATATTTTCTGTAGAAATGTGTGTATCGTGTGCCTATGCCTGCACTTGTAGACATAATTACACATACAAATATTTATAACTTTATCATTTAATATATCGTTTTATTCTGCATGCCACTTTTTACTCTTTTATTGCAGGTGTTAGTTTGTTTAGCGAATATGATGATTCCATTCACGGCAGTATTGTTCTGTGGTCACCTTGGAACCGAGGAGTTGGACGCAGTGTCCCTCGCAAATTCAGTAAGTGACGTATGATGTACTAGATAACCAAAAAATGAGATATCGCCTGCGCAGGCCTCTTTGAAAAAGAGTGGCCTTGTGTACCACTATGCTGGGTATGTCAGACTTAAAATGTTTTAACTATATAGAATCTGATTTTCTCACATAAAGTATGCAGGTGTTAGTGTCTCAAGAATGAGCACAGACTTTTTAATGAGCAATTTCTGTTAAGCCGTGCAGTCATAGTGCAAGTGAAAAAGAAAAATGGCCTCTTGTTTTGAATCAGTAACATGTAAAAATGTAAATAGTATGAACTATTATTGTGGATCAAATCAACGTTGACGTATTGTAAATTTCCCACAGTTATGTCATGCCTCTTATTTATAAAAAATAATCATTTCAAAGACTAGGTAACTGAATATACTAGTTTGTTACTTGTCATATTGACACCATTAACTGATATTGAGACGAAATAAGACTATATTTGCTAGGATACAACAACTCGTTGGAGAGAAGATAGTCCCTTTGGTAAAGAAATGAACCTGAATAGCTATTGCAAATTGCTGCTATAGGCATCATACTTTGAACTGGAAGGTTCTGGGTTCGATTCCCAAATGAAGCATTGAATCAAGCACATATTCTATTTCATGTCTGTAACTGGCTTGTTACGCTCCAGCGTCCTCTGGTCATTACAATTCATTTTTTCACTCGAAACAAGTGTTAGTAGTGAAATAAACTACACTCGCTTTTTATAAAATGGAGTAATATTGGAGGGGGTGTTTCGAGATACGTACAAAGTAGCCTCGGAATCATGAAGTACAAACGCTTCACAAACATATGGTATAAGAGAAACTAAAGGATAACATTCTGGTATATCAGAATATTTTCTTTTTCAGTTGATTAACGTAACTGGCCTCTCAGTGGGTATGGGCCTCGCAACTGCATGCGATACACTTTTCTCACAAGTAAGTTTACTTTTTCTTAATATATAACATCTAACAGCAGTTAACCGATAAATCATTAATAAGGAACAGACAAATATAAAACAAATAACATGATCATTATAAGCCAAATGGGTTGCTCGTGGACACCAAATTAAATGCAAGGTATAGTAGAGTGATATACGAGCGTTTCATTTGTCTTATAGTAAATCTAAAATAAATGTAAAAGCCAAAAAGACAATGCAGCTGCAACATTGAGCAGTCTTGTGAGACAGTATTTTATTGAATTATTCATATATTTGACATATGGTTCTGCAACATCTATAACTAAATGTATTATTCATCTTTTAGACATATGGTAGCGCCAACAAAAAGCGGGTTGGAATATACCTACAGAAAGCTATATTGATATTAATATTATTCTGCTTCCCGTGTTGGGCCATACATCTCAACACCGAGAGCATTCTTCTAATCTTCGGTCAAAATGTCGATGTTGCGAGGTAAGTAGATCTGTGAGCACAAAGGGGCTTCTGGTTCATGTCTGTTAATGACACCTAAAACAGACATGATATATGTACAGGTAGGAAAGCACATGTGCCAGAAGGGGCAAGGTACGCGTTTACTCCATACTTTTTCCCTCACAACATTTTTGTAAGAATCTGTCTCTTTCCAAATCCGTATTTGCGAAAAAGCGTGTCAGGATTAGCAAGATGAAATTAAAAGATCTGAATTTACATAATCAAGAAAATTTATAGCAATGTTGTAACAGCTAGGGCCAAAATATCAAGCGTGCGTGCATCGTCTAAAGTATATCCTCGAATCTCAAGATTAAGTGAAAAGAACATCTTTCAAAGAACTTACACAAAAAACATTTCCATATTTGTTGATGTTAGAAATGGTGTTATGACTTCATTTATCGTTATTTAAACATTTACTTTTTCAGATTGGCTGGAAATTACATCTTGTATTTTATGCCTGGTCTATTTGTGAGTATCAATTTTAAACATTTTTATGTTTTGCTAATTTTGTAAATTATTATCTATTTTATAAACATCATATTTTATTTTATGAGTGTTCTCGTTTAGATAAATTTATGAGTACTTGATCCAATTGCAATTATATTAATTATTATTTATTTTAATTAATTTGAAGATAAATAATCCAGATGTTTGTTATTACATAATTATATACAATGTATTTGTAACAGAATAAATGCACTGCTTCCAACGTTTAGCAACCGGAACTCTTCGTTTTAGATTTATAGTATAAGCTCATCATGCTTTGTTATGTTTGGGAATTGAATAAATCAAATGTTAAATGTTTCGAGTCCATTGTAATTTAGGTGCAGAATTAAGTTTAAACTTAAATTAATTAAGCGTACCATTCACTGGAGATTTCTGGTTGTGTACACTGTATGTATATATTTCCATTTTTTTGTTTTATTTGCAGTTTAATTTTATGTTCCAAGCATTGACTAAATTCATTAATAATCAGGTAAGACTCTTTTATTCTTATTTACCTTGTGTGTAGTATAAATATATCAAAGTAGTCATAATATTAAGCCTGGTGAACGCATATTAAATTAAAGGCCTCGTCTTTATGATTTCTATTGTTATAAGTTATTTTTAATAGTTAAATATGTTGAATATGAAAATGTATATTATATGAAATAATCTGACTATTGCATTTTTTATTTCAGAATATAGTTATACCAAGTGTGTTAATTGGTCTACTGGCCAACGGGGTGAATGTACTGGCCCACTATATATTCATCAATGTAATCGGATGGGGTACGACGTAAGTCTATTTTATAATACCCAAGTTATATTTTTTGTTATTTCCTCATATAACGGAGTCTATTATATCATATGTTCATCAAATTAATTTTCTATTATATTAGAGTGATATTTTGTTATTTTCTCATATCAACGATTTCATAATATTTGTGTATATTTTCATCACTTAAAGAATAATCCAGTTCAAAATTCTTTCAAAGAAGATATTTACAGACAGTATATTTTACTTCTATAGTACATTATATTATATACGGTCATCACTATCTATTTTCAGAGGCTCAGCTGTGGCTCAGGTTTTGGCCTACTTCATCATGGCAATGGGAACCTTGTGTTATATACTCTTCAGCAAGATGTATACAGAGACATGGGATGGTATGGAATTATTTTTAATTAAGGAAACATTTTTAATTGTGTTTATAATATTTTTCACCTGATTGTGTTTTGAAATAAGTAAAATGTGCTTCTTGTACTGCTTTATGTTAATAATACAGCTCAAGAGTACATTGGACTTCACACCAGATGAATAATTTTATTTATCCACACGTTGATGGCCGACCCTAAATACACAGTTCTTCTCAACTTTCTAGGTTGGACAAAAGAGTGTTTGGATGATTGGGGATTCTTCATGAAGCTAGCCTTACCAGGAATGCTAATGGTGTGTCTAGAGTGGTGGTGTTTTGAAATAGGAACCGTTCTAACAGGTATGGTCTATATGTAATGCTATGGGAGTGCTAAGACAATAAAGAGGTTAAGGTGTACACGTTTTAAGAGAACTTGGAGCGTGAAATATAATGATCGAAAAAGGCATATCCTGTCCACGTCTCAAATCTTTTTTTGTTTACCTGCATACTCAATCCGTCAAGTAAATTCTACGAAATGGAGAATTTCGACAAATAGGATCATTATTCTACACGTACACGAACAACATTCACGGAAGTTAACCTCCCTTTATTTCTTTTTGAGCTTTAGAAAAATAGGATTTATAATTCAAAATTAAAGGTTTGTTTTTATGAATCGATATGCTCTTTGACGTTTTATTTTTGTTTTGCTGTATTTAGTAATAATATTCTTTGGTATTTTCCCTTTACTGGGACATATGAGCTTTCGTATTGATACACATATCAGTTCTATTTTAGGTGTTCTAAGCAAGACTGAACTAGGAGCCCAGTCGATCATGTTCCAGCTTGAGACAATTTCATATGTGGTAAGTGAAGTAGCAAAAATCATGAAATAAAATAAGTTCATTTTTCATTTTGACCCACACTCGTTTAAAGAATACATATTCAATACGAATAAAATTCATTATACTTATAACAACTTTCTTGCTAAATATAATATAGTGTAATGTAAACATTCGACAATATAATTCAACATATTTGGCTGTCTTGTTAAATAGGTGTGGGTGGGTGGGAAAAATACATATAATGGGTCAATTGCATATTTTGAGAGGTATCTAGTTTAATAGTGAATTATTGTATTATGAGAAAGTGGGAAAGCTGATAGGATTCCGACAATAGTATTTCAATAGCAGCCCAATATCTTTCATTTCAAATGATTGTATCAATGTCTGCAGATCCCCGTTGGAATAGCTATTGCTGTGAGTATACGTGTGGGTCAGTTCTTAGGATCGAACGACCCAAGGGGTGCAAAAACGACGGCAAGGGTATCACTTCTTATCATTTGTAAGTGTTAGTGTGTGCTTGCAAATATGCATGGTTGTAGGCTTTGCGGTATGATATAATAATTGCTTATGCTGGCTTGAGGAGATTGGTTGTCCTATCCTAGGGATAGCTATTTTTGTATGAAGTATTTGCAATGCAATGCAATCATTTTATGCTAACCAAAACACTTCACAGATGTTAATTAGGAAAATACAAGATCCATAGATATCTGCCGTATTACTTATTTTTCATGAAGAAAATAATTGTGATCTGAAAAATGCCATATTCCTAATTTCCAAAATGCAATGACTCAGATGCGGTTAGGTATTTACCAGTTCCACCACCAGGTGGCTCGTTCGGGTCAGATAGCATGGCGGGTATAGTAGAAAGTTCCCTTTAACTTAAGTTACATCTGTTTCAGTGGTTCAATTTTCAGATCACCCTTATGTATCTAATAGTTATGCAAATTGAAATATGTCCAATAAAAGAAAATGTTATCTGCCCAATACCACAAGATATGTTTCTTTTTTTGTGATTTTATACCATGTGGTCGAGGGGAATCTCTCCGAACTAGAAGTTATATTTTCAAAGTTCATAAACAATTTTCGAGACCATATTTCGAGATATACTCTTACATGCAGATTTCAAATACAACATCACCTTGACTGAATTTTGAATATTAGATGACTCAAATCAAGATTATTTCTACTCGCTCTAGTCCGTTTATACATCGTCTTGGCTTCTGGTCCCAAGGTTTTAAGTTTTAATGATTGTTTTTGCAATTGTTTCAAGCATGGACGTGCCCTACACAAATAGTGAACCTTTCCAACAAACCTTGCCATATTTTACTTAACTAAGTCACTGTTACATATGTTGGCTAGATTTATGATGCCATATATTGTAGGTAACAGTTACCCCAGACAAACTAAGCATTTGCTTATTACCTACAACCACCTATGCTACTTAGGTGAGGCGAAATGTGGTTGGGTTTCTTGGAAATTTTTATTGCTTAATCGCTTTTTGCTTTCTCTAGTTTCCAATAGGTATATCAGTTGCAGTAAGCATTAGGGTTGGGCAATACCTAGGAGGTAACAACCCTTCGGGCGCCAAAACATCAAACAATGTTGCTATAAGTATCATATGTAAGTGGAGATAAGCAATAGCTTACTTTGTTGTTATCATTATCATACTGAATATTCAAAATTGTCTATGATAATTTGACAAAGTTGTATGTAGATATTTGATTATAATGTATATTTTAAAACAAAATGATTTACACTTTATTGTTTTAAGTTTCCATTGGTACTATATTTAAACACAAGAGATTAAGAAGATATCATGGTATTCAGAAAAATTGAGATTTAATTTTATGTAATGTTAATAAGTTTTTGTTATTTTTCTGAAGGGATCAGTGCAATTATAGTTGGAGCCCTATATGCAGGTCTCAGATGGTATCTACCCAGGGCTTTCTCTGGAGATCCGTAAGACTACTTTCTACATTCAAGTATAAATACACTTCAATCAAAAGATTAAAAATTTTGTTCAATTCTTCAAGGTATTTGATATTCAACTTTTACCATTAAAAACAGTAAAAAGAACAACATGTCTTTAAACTCATGTCGGCCTAAATGGCTTTCTTTTTATATATATAAGCACAAATGCCAAAGGGAAGGGTGACTAAAAACTTTAAAGAAACTCAACAAGAAAAGCAAACTGTAACTGTAAATCTGTCATAAGAAAAGTTGACCCTATTATATCCCAAAACCATGATCTAACGTGAAAAGAAACAATGTCTAACATCCCCCTCCCCCTCCAATCGAGAACCAATATCACAATCCAGGACCAGAACACCAAGGGACATTTCATTCATACTGAAGTCATTACAATACATGTTGAAGATAACTCAATAAGCCATGCCCATCTATTCATAATGATATCATGCTAACATTAAAAAATAGGATTTGATATCCAAATAAATTATGCTTGACATATCCTAATTAGTGAAACTTGCTCGCTACATTTCGATGAACAACGTCCATCTTCTTCAGACACGTATCGGCTACTGGGTATTGGTTCGCCGCGCAATCGCTCCATTAAGGATTAATTATTTGGATATGTCAAGCATAATTTATTTGGATATCATATACAACTATCCAAATTGATAATTTTGTTGCTGTCTGCAAAATATGAAATCATAAAAGTAAAAATACAAGAAAGAAGCCAAAATCTATTGTAAACAGTACTTATATCGAATAGTGTAATAATATACTACCAATATCATATTTTGTATTCCTTTTCAGCGATGTGATAAAAAGAACGGCGGCTATTCTACCAATCCTATCTATCTTCCAATTGTTCGACGGCATTGCTGTGAGTATACGATTCTGTTGGGTAGAATTATTTTTCTATTTACAAAACATAACTTAAAAAAACAGGTTTTATATAAACAAGTTCGAACAATATCGCAAAACATTATGCTTAGGAGAATACTTTAAGATTTATTTTAATGAATATATTCTGTATCATGGAATGCAAGCTTATCGTCAATTTGTAAGACAACGTGACTTATGTTCTATTACACAGTTAACGAGTTAAATGAATAAATGCATGCATATGAATATAGGCCTTGTTCCTTTGTAGATCATTTCTAAGGAATACTTGTCGTACCCACTATGAATGTTATACATGTTTTGTAATGCTAGGGCGTATGTGGCGGTGTCTTGAGAGGCTGTGGAAGACAGGTGGTAGGTGCAGTGGTGATATTCATAGGATACTACATTCTGGCGCTACCTGTAGGAATACCACTCATGTTCCTTACACCATTGGGGATTGAAGGTAACTTTATGACATTTATTAACAAATTAGCACGGTACTATTTTAAACATTAAATCGATGTTAATAAATTAACACAGTACTATATTAAACAATATATTGATGTTAACAAATCAGCACAGTATATATTATATTTGGATCAATTTCAACTGATTGGGAAGAAAGTAGTTCCATTAATAGCCTAAAGCAAGGCTGCTGTCTTTCCCCGACCCTATTCTCCCTTGTAATGTCAGAACTAGTTGAAATGCTACAAGAAGAATCAACAGGTATACCTTTCGAGGGGCAAAAAATCCCAGCTCTAATGTTTGCTGATGACATTGTACTACTTGCTGACAATGAAGAGGGTTTAAACAAAATGTTAAAAATTGCAGATAATTTCTCAATCAAATAGGGATTTAAATTTAGCTAAAAAAAATCAAAAGTCATGATAGTAGGAAAACGTCTATATAAACAAAAAACTTGGATTTTGGGGGACTCATTTATTTCCGAAGTTCAGAACTATAAATATTTGGGTATACATATTGACAGGTCCATGAAGGATTCTTTCCACATAAAGAATATGTTAAGCTCTAAATCAAAAAGAGTACAAGGAATGATAAGTTCAACCTTAACCAAGCATTGTAATGTTATGCGAGTCAAATTCGGAATTAAAATGCATGATACAATGTTTTTGCCAGCCTTATTACATGGATGTCCCACCTTGATTCTGAATAAGACAACTTGCAAAAAATTCAAATCAATGCAATACAATGTAGCAAGAGCCATTCTCCAGCTTAGATGCCGCCCTGCAAGAGAGGCATTGTTAGGAGATTTAGGATTAAGACCTATTCTTGATGTCATTGAAAACGTAAAATCGATTATTTTTTATATTTAGGGCACTCTATTAAAGAAGGGTCAGTTCACAAAGCTATATTCAAGACAATGTACAATAAATACATAAATGGTCAGGAAGGCAAGGCTTTCCCCTATTTTGCCAATATTCAGGAGATCCTGATAAAACATGGTCTGGATGGCATCCTTCAAAGGCAGGATGATAACTGGTATAAAACATACATCCAGATCTCAAATGATTTAAGCCATGTAGCTTTCTTCTCTTCAAAAGGGGAGAAGTCATCCCTAAATCTTTACAAATGTTTGAAAATTTATCTCTCTAAGGAAAATTATATGAACTCAGACTTTGATTTCTATGGTCAGAAACTTAAATTCATGGCCAGAACGGGATGTTTTGGCCTTCGCTCCGATCTTCAAAGATGGGGTCAAGACAACGGTATATGTCTCTTTTGTAACCTCAATGTTAAAGATACTATACGGCATAGACTTTTTGTCTGTCCGTACTTTGGTAGTGATAGGAATGTATTTTTCAATAATGTTGTGTCAAACTGCAACCACCAACTCTCCTCTGACTTTCTAGCAGGAAGTGTACAACTAAAAACATGTTGGGCTCTGGGAGATGACATTTTAATCGTGTGGGGACATGATAATTACGTGAAGTTTGACAAATATGTCAAATTGTTTTTAAAGAAATTACATGTACAGTGCACACAATAGTCGTATGCATGTTTTTAGTGGCCTTTTGCATGATATGTTTTATCCCATTTATATTTTATATATGATGTACTGGATGCACCGATTGAGTGCCGCTGCTCTAAAAGCGTTTTCCAAATAAATAAATAAAAAAATAAAAAATAAAACTATGTATAACTATAAATTGATGTAAACAAATTAACACAGTACTATGTTAAACTATAATTTGATGTCAATGAATTAGCACAGGACAATGTTCAACTATAAATTGATGTTAATAAATTAGCACAGTACTATTTTAAACATTAAATTGATGTTGACAATTATCACAGAACTATGCTCAACTATCAACAATTAAAACTAACACAGTACTATATTAAACAATAAATTGATGATATTGTTACACCTTTAAGGATTGAAGACAAATTATCCTGTATTTATAAACAAATATTATTTAACTTATCATAGCAAAAATAACGCACGTTCCTTACTCTATTTGGGATTTGGGGCAAATGGTGTTTATAAACAAATGTTGTTTGATATATATAATATATTAATCAATTAAATAACTCATGTCCCTTAAACCATTAGAGGTTAAATATACTATTGTATTCATAAATGCACGGTATTCACTTATTAAATCAGTTCTAAATTAAACTATTATAAATTCATATTTCTCAATGCGCTTTGATTTGTAGGAGAATAATATGTTTTTGATTTAGATCCATTTTGACAATTGAACTCTTTTAGGGGTTTGATTTCTCTTGGTGCATGTCACAAATACTACCTTATTAAATTGGTTTAGCCTAATATACCTCAAATTTTTAATTACCCTGGCCTTTCCTACAAATTCTTACATTCACTTATTACCAAATTAGGTCAAAATTAGCACTGTAATTTTAAGTGTAGGAACTGGGAACAAGCTAGATATATGTGATATAGAGTAGACATGTAGGGAAAAAGTAGAAGTGAACTAGTTTTAGAGAGTGAGAAAAGCACAAATGTGGAATGTGATATTTTTCATATATATGAAGTGAATTATGCATCATTTGAGATATGTGAAATGAAAGTTAACTAGAATATGAGATATTCTACAACAGTTATGAACTTATGTGATTGCATAGTGATAGTGAAACTTGTGAAAATTGTGACAATAGTGTCAACTTTTACTAACTGATTAAGAACTAATAATCGTTACGAAAAGTGAAACAAGTGTGTATATTAACGTGCTATTGTTCTTACTGATGAGGACAATTATACGTATGATTAAAATCTGTGATGTGAATATGACATTATTGCAAGAGTCCAGGAGCTACTCGTACCGTAAGAATTGTGTATCTGTAAAATGAACATTTGACGTAACTACAGACAAGACGTGTACATATCCGTTTATATATCGATAGTGTGAACCAGTGTGCAGGAGCTACAAACTGCGAGTGTTTGTGCATCTATGACAATGTAACTATAACTATAATTGTGTACGTGCCAGATTATTATCGCTGATGCAGACCAGTGTGCAGAGTTATTAGACTGCAGGTGTTTCGTACAATAACAACAGTGGATCTTCAAAATATGGTGATATAATTAAATTATCATAAAATTACATTTTATTGACGACAGCAGGCTTTACTAATGACAATAGTGAGCGGTTACAATTATATACAGTAGTGCAAATATACTTCTTGTTGAGTATATTAAAATTTAATTTGAAAACTATTGTTTATTGGAAGTGAGTTAAGTTAGTTTTTAGAAAAGTTAATTAGATTAGTGTTAAGATAAGGAAAGTTAAAGGTAGAATTTTATTTGGAAAATTCCATCGCAAACAGTAAATTTGTAAATATGTTTATTAACTTTGAAATAGATTTTTAATTTTAATTCAAAAACAACCAAAGTTTTCATATTATTAACATCAGCTAAGGTATAAAGAACCCTACCCTGTGACAATGGGGGCTCGTCCATAGCCATTACTTAACTTAGATGTTACTTTATTTCAAATAAGCATATTATAAAGTTAAAGTAGCTTGCTTATAGTTAGAAGTTAAATTAGCTTAAGAGTTAGGTTAGAAAGTTACATAAAATAAAATAGATAGTACCAAGTTATAAAAAAAAAAAAAAAAAAAACTGCCAATACAGTAAATCAAATCAATTTATCAATACAAAATTGAATATACCTTTTATTAAATCTCTTATCCAGTACACGCTACCTACAATTACACATACATCGCGAACGCGCAAGTTATACATTATACATGTTTAAGAATTTACGCGTATTTTAACTTTCTCCCTTACTACTGAAAAATGGCAGAAAAACAGGAAATGGATATGACAGACAATGACGTATCAGAAAAATCAGACCTGGAGAAATGTATGGAATTGGGAGAAAAGTTAGGCTATACAGGCGAGAAACTAGAAAAGTTCATTTTTGCCGAGCGCGATCGATTAGAAAAATGTCAAGAAAGACAAGATAGAATATATGAAAGAGAACACAAGAAAAACATTGAATTAGGAGCTCAAAGAAAAGAAGAGCTGATGCTTCAAATAGATTTAGAAAAAATCAAACTAGAAAGCATCCACAGAGCAGAACAAAGTAATATAGAAAGACCAACCACTACCAGAGAGAGTCAACAAATACCAAAAATTCCAAAGTTACCGTTCTTTGATGAGACAACCGACAACATTGATGCTTATCTACTTAGATTTGAAAGATACGCAAAAACTCAAGAATGGAAGGAAGAAAATTATGCCATGTATTTGAGTGCCTTATTAAAAGGAAAAGCACTTGAAGTGTATACCAGACTACCAGAGACTACATGTTCCTGTTACCAAACACTGAAAATAGCCCTTTTAAAGCGGTATGAAATGACAGAATATGGGTTCAAAAAGAGATTTTATTCTTCTGAGCCAGAAAAAGGAGAAAGTGCTATACAGTATATGGCGAGAATAGAGAACTATTTTAATAGATGGATAGAACTCGCAGAAGTACCCAAAACCATAGAAGGCATCACTGACCTTATTGTTAGAGAGCAATTTTTAAACTCATGTGGAAAGCCGTTATCTACCTTTATTAGAGAACACAACATAACTACACGATGGGACATCACAGAACAAGCAGATAGATACACCAAAGCTAGAGGTATACACTCACTAAAAGATGACTATTCCACAGGAAATAAATTCAAGATAGGAGAAAAGAAGAAGTTGTTTCATATTAACATGTTAAAGAAATACATCAGCTAAGGTATAAAGAACCCTACCCTGTGACAGTGCACCTCATCCTGATGATATTCAAGTTTACATCCATTCATTGATCAAACATACCGGTGTATATTTTCAATGTACAATTAAGTCTTTGGATGGCTTACCATGGTAAAAAGTACTATAGATCCCTAATGGTAGTTATGCCTACGTATTCATTAGTCAAATGTATATTTTTAACGTACAATTATGTATTTTGGCAGCATGCCATCGGGGTACATGTATATACCCCAATGGTACTTATGCCTACGTATTCATTGGTTAAATGTATATTTTAACGTACATTTATTTTTTGGCAGCATGCCATCGGGGAACATGTATATTAACCCCTATGGTACTTATCCCTACACATTCATTGGTCAAATGTATAATTTCAATATACAATTAGGTCTTTGGGCAGCATATGCCGGGGGTATTGCAATAGAAGCAGTATCCTTCTCTATTCTCGTCGTGACAACCAATTGGGACCTCGAAGCTGACCAAGTAGGTCATATTGTACATCGTGTAGATGGAATATCCTGTAGATGGCATATCGAAGAATGCATTATCTTGTAGATTGCACAAAACACATTCGCTTTTAGTTATACTGACGTGTTGCCTAACGCTAAACTATTTTGATCTTATAACAAATTGCAATATTTGATTGTTTCACAGGTTTTACGGTAGCATTTCATTTTACGTGTTTTTCAATTAATATTGTCAATATATAGCATATTTCAATGAATGTTGTGCTAAATATTGTATTTCGTTTAGAATTATGATCTTCTAAAGTTTTATATTCTTTGTGGAAGCAAAATACATTTGTTCGTCAAATTGAAATGTAGTGCTCCTGAAAAACCTTCACAAATGCTATGATTTTAAATTTCCCGATACTTTGTAATATACCTTGATTTCAAAATGTAATATGCTTTTGTTTCGCCAGTCTTTTAGAGACTTTAATTTTCTTATGCTTTTGACACAAAGCATCACTATATTATGCAAACGCATCAAATACTGCAAGTTCTTCAATGTGTTTCACACTGTTTTAATAAATGTATAACTGTATTGGTTGCATGAAGTGGCAAACACAAGTTCTTGATATAGTATTTGACAAATGATTTGAAAATGTTCATATGCAGTCTTCTTTTGATAAAATACCACACAAACTGAGATCCCTTCTTAAATATTGCATTTCCGCAATCTAAAATACATACAATCTGCATTTTTATGTGTTTGGCTTGAGTTCCAAATATCAGCACTGCATATGTAGTTTTACAGTATGTTATCCTTTTGGGTTGGCACAGGAAATCGTTTTTTTTATGCCCTGTGGTAATCGTAAAGGAGCACGCACTTCTTTAAATGTAAAATACGTTATGGTCTTTATATTAATTGTTGTTCGAGTCCTTATTCATAAAGTTATAGACAACGAAACACTCACTGTCAAACCTTTGACTATATTCTGTAGGATTATGGTGGGGTTATGCCGGAGGTATATTTGTTGAAGCAGTTGCGTTTTTCCTCCTTGTTCAAACTACGAACTGGGAATTAGAATGTGAAAACGTGAGTTCATTTGACAATTGGGGTGTTGGGGTTTTGTGCATGCAATGTGCAAACTAAATAAAAGCCGATGGCATATACATTATTAGGAAATATAAGGCTTGTAATGCTTCAAAATCTAGTTTTCGACATTTTCAAAAGTCAATGATGTTGCTGCACGAATAAACCAAAAAGAAAACGATGCACAGGCCGGGAATCGAACCCGGATCGCCCGCGTGGCAGGCGAGCATTCTACCATTGAACCACCAGTGCTTGATATCAACATATATCTGTGTTGGGTTTATCTTGCACATACTAATCGGATAAGTAGTAGGGTGTACTTACCACTGTGTGCCAACTTTCCGCTGTTTGAACATATTTAACAGGTTTTGAAATATTTATATGCTATTTACCATTATTTAAGTGCCTCTTGCTTCTAGCATTTGGTGATATCGCAAGCATTAGATAAAGAGTAAATAAATGGCGTTATGCTGCTGTTTTGCATATTGAAAGTAGCAGTTTTTGAACAATTAGAACAAGAAAAATATATTCGTGGTAAACAGCAAAGTAAACCCAACATTTGGCAAAATAGACGAAATAGGTATTCCAATGATATAATTTGTCTAAATGCAATACTGAGTACTTCTCTGACTTTAGGCAACATATGTACAAAACAATTCAGTCGAGATACTTATCATACATCTTATATTCAAAGATGCTATGCAGTCATTCAAATATATAGTAAAGACTATTGAAAATTGGTTATATCTCTATATGCACATTATTGATTTTAATTAATATACGATGGGTCATACTCGGTCATTGATTATTCTCTTATACTGATCTACTGATAAATTCGCATTGGCTTTCGTTTCTTGTGCTTTTTAAATTAAAAGGGTAGTGTTTGTATTGAACATTGATTGATTCTCCTCGGTTTACAGTATAAGCAATATGAAAAAATCAAAGTTTGATTTAATACTCCCATCTTTTTCCTTTTAAAAGATAACTAATTAACTCATTTTCTTTTTAATGATTTAATGTTTCGTTAACTACAGAAAAAGTCATACAGAAAGTGTGAAAGTAATAAAATTTCAAACGGAAATACAATTATTTTCGGGCTATTTAATAAAGCGGTTTTGTCAATTATCTTTTTGATATAGTTTTACAAAAAAATCTCTTAGTTTTCAATTTCTCCCTTCGTATCATGGCTAGTTATTTATCTGATAAACTTACAATGTTTGACATTATCTAGCTTCAAAGCACTCTCCACTACACAGACCATTCGTAAACTCAAAGTTGACCATACTGCAGAATTATATGAAGGGATACAACATATTATTATGTTCGAGACCTGCACTAAATATGTCATGATTGTTTTGATTGTTTGAAGATATATGTATTTTCTGTCAAATTAATTTTGATATATAGCCTCAAAACGTAGCGCACTACTCAATTACAAGTCAGAGTATGTATATATAGCTATCTGAAATAAACGCGTTTAAAATATGAAGTATTTTTCACTTTTCATTTAACACTGTATATCACTGACAGCTTATTTTAGTAAATACTAAACATACTTGGTGCGTATTTATCAAAACTGCAAATGAGGCCTGGATTTTGTTTTGTTTTGCTAATGCTTTGCTTGACATGTAAATTACATTACACACTGTGAGTGTGACTCTTCTTATTATTTGACATACAGTACTATTTATTAAAATTGCAAATGATAATTATTAAATGGCAAATGATAATTAATGTTATTTTTATAGTTTTATTTTTTTGCTTGGTTTGATTTCATTACACAGAATGAGCGTGGCTCCTCTTATTGATATTCTGCAAATAATTATTTGTCTTTTGCTTGAAATTACATAGTATTTAATTGTTAGTGTGACCATCCTTGCTTAATTTTTGGTTTTTGACTCTTTTCATGAACTTATTTTGTATTTTGCTTACTTTGCTTGAAATTACAATAGAAAACATTGTAAGAGTGCCCCCCTTGCATAATTTTTGACTTTTATCATGAACTTAATTTTGTGTTTTGCTTACTTTGCTTGAAATTACAATTAGTATTACATTGTAAGAGCGTCTCTCCTTGCTTTTTTTTGCCTTTATCATGAACTTCTTTTGTAGTTTGCTTACTTTGCTTGAAATTACAATTATAGTATTACATTGTAAGAGTGGCCCCCTTGCTTGATTTTTGCCTTTTATCATGAACTTATTTTTTGTTTTGCTTACTTTGGTTGAAATTACATTGTAGTATAACATAGTAAGAGTGTCTCTCCTTGTTTATTTTTTGCTTTTTACATACTTATATTTGTGTTTTGCTTGCTTTGCTTAAAAGGTCTCTGGTATGCATTTAGCGGCGGTGTTGGAATAACAGCTATTAGCTTCTTTGTGTTAACAATCACTACTAACTGGGAGATGGAATGCGATAACGTAATAACTTTACATATATTTAATTCAATAATTTTAAAAATTAATTTACAATCGAAGTGTACTCAAACTATTGATAAATATAGAGTTATATAGTAAATCTTATAAATTGTATAATGTTTATGTAATTATTTATAGTTTGTTTTGTTTTGTCTGTATATAAGTGTTTTTGTATTTGTATTGCTCTGAGTGTCTTGTTTAATGTTTTTTTTCTGGTCATATTCGTTGTATTTATCTTGAAATTATTTAATGTTTGTACATGATGTCAATATGAACTTTATAAAATGCCCCCTTTAAGGAGATTATGTATCCAAATAACTGAACCCCTTTAAAAACTAATAATTGTTCTGAATATGTACATCAACATTTTATGTAAAAGTATTGCAAATTATACTTAGGCTCAACTACGAGCTGGAATAACAGATGAGGATGGAATGATACAAGACGAAGACGATGAAGACCTTGATGAAAAAACTAGTAAGTGGAAAACGTTTCTATCAATGAAGGATTCATTTTCATACATGGATGACTATTTTCATGTACCCTCCCTCCAATTTTCGGCAACGCAGAGTCCTCTTTTAGGCTGTTTATAATTAAGTTATCTTATGTAGATTTAAAATTGTCAAAAATATTGAGGGCATTGTAATAAGTCAACTTCCCTATGACTTGCTGTATTGTTATTCAAAGTGATGGTTGTTAAAGGAACGGAGCTCATGCAAGTTCTTCAAATATACTGACGTTCCCTCATTCTAGCCAGTTCCCTTTGATTAATTAATTTTACTTTGAATGGTACAAATTAATTGTGTCGACTTTTTAACATCCAGGCTTGATACCACCTCCAAAAGCTACACCAAGGACAAAGGTTGGAGGAAATAGGAGATACTCCTCCCCTGTGATTGTAGGATCATCCATACCAAGGCGCTATTCCTCTTCAAAGATTGTAACCACACTTCACGGGAGAAGATTCTCTACTCCAGGTAAATACTGCAATAGAGGTTTTGCAATAGTACATCATAAATTCTAAGAAGGTTTTTTGCCCGGGTTATGTGTAAATGAATCGGGAAGCAAGTATGATAATTGTAAAGAAAAAAACACAATTCATAATGCCTGGTAATATCTCCTATTCATCCGAAAATCTCCCCAACATTTTTTGTCTTCATTAGTTTCAAAAGTTAGTAATCAAAAACATGTTCATGAGATCTTTGAATAGCATTACGGATTTTAAAACGTAGGAATCATAGTGTGAATCGCGCATTGTATTGTAATGGCAGAGGTGACAGACATTGTTTCTTCTTGCTTTGACATGTTTTAGGTATTTGGTCTTTGCTTTCTTTGTGACTTGTTGTTTCTCAATGTTTCTTTTTACTACTGTACTACTGTAATTCTATTATCCTGACTTTCCATGATATTATTTTTTCACTGTGTAACGTTCATCTTCCAGGTAAACCTAAGTCAATGCCTTTGTACCCAAGGCGGTATTCCTCACCCTACCTGGCTCAGTATCAAGATGCAATAGAAGACAGAGATCAGATGTCTCCAACCACGACCAACATTATAAGGTCTCTAGTCTGTCTTCTACTATGCATAGCAATCCTTGTAGGTGGACTGATGGTCAGACTTTACGTTCATGTTCCAATTACGCAGTTACCAATGTGTATACCAACAAATTCAACATCAAATGTGACATTACCACCGTGTACCAATGTATCTTCGGTAGCACTTGCAGAGCATAATCTACAACTCTTTCAAGCATCTAGCTGGAGGGTGCGGTAGAAACCAGAGCCAGTTTATATACGTTTGTTGACAGAATGTGTATACATGCTCAGTGGTAGGAGGAGTATAGCTTGGATCCAACAGGCGATGATACTATGTACTGCTATTTGGCATAATGAACGCCAATGGGGGAATAAATAAAATGTATACATGCATGATATCATGGATCAAAGGCGATAAAAACCAAGTCAATTAGAGAGACTTATTTTGCAATGAAAATTCAAATTATAATGGACTCCGATGAAAGAAGAAACAAATATGTACTTATTAGATATCTGCAGCGTAGCCAGGATCCAGGACGAGATAATAATCAAGCAAAAAGGGGACAACTACCACCTTGATTACAAATTAACATAAGATTGTAAACAAAATCGACGTACTCTGTATCAAGCCAACTAAATGCACTTATATTATATTCTTAGGCACAAAAGACAGAATGAGATTATTTTGCAATACCTCAGATGCATTTAACATTTCCTTAAAAGGGAGCGTCGACGATGCAAACATTTTAGCAAATGAAAAAATGATCACTGTCACTGACTTTATTGTCCATAATACCTAAAACTAGTCTTTATTTCGCATGTAAATTGAATAAACGAACAGTTTCATGAACATATTATTTTGAATATATACGCTATATAAGTCAAATGTATTTTTCAAATACTGGTGGTCATATATCCATGAAATATTTTGGTAAGAAGTAATTATTTGTCTCCCCTAGATCTTCCCCAGGGGTTATCCATTCTGCAGATACTTTTGCGCTAAAACGTGTTTTTTTCTCAGCTAATACTGATCAACCGATGTCAACATTCTTAAACGTCAATACAGGCTATACTGAGTATACCTTAATCACTTTCATCACCCTTTTTGGCTAAAAAGAATGTTTTAATTGAAAAGAAAAAAACACAAAGAATCTCCCTGCGTTACTTTAACCTTTTTTTTTTTACCTCATTTGACATTTTTTTGATTTAATACACTTCTCGAGCTAGTTTGCATGACCTTTAATATGTTACCTTTACTTCTACTTAGTTTTACTGTACTTCTATAACTTTGGAAACGCCAGGGGGCTCATCTGACCCCACATTCATTAGTGTTATAAAAATACGTTGTCCGTTGTCTAAGGAATATATAACTATTAGGTTATAATTACTGTTAGCTATATAACTATTTGTTTACTGTAAAATAACTGTGTACCCATTTCTCATTTCCCATGTTTTAGGTCGTCCTATTTGCTTTACTTCCGTTACGAATAGAAATATATTTGAAATCCATGTATACATATTTATTAAACATATCTATCCATTCACAAATGTCGTATGGATTACTATTTTCGATTTCGATTGATTGTAAATATAGCTGCAAAGTCAATTATATATTTAACAGCCTTAAAAGGCAGACCGGTTTAAAAACACGTGGGCTTTATAATAAAAATAAAACAAACAATATCAGCCATCACCACATTATCAGATGTTGTTCTTTCTCTAATGGGCAGCTTTATAGTTTTACATAATATAGCAACGTGATATAATTGGATAAACAAGAGACCATCAACTCATTTTAGAAACCTTTGAAATAGATCTTTTCAATTCTTTGTTTAAACATTTTAGTTTGCTACTCACTTTGTACTTGTAGGTGTTTACAGATTTTTCATAATTAATCACAAATATGTCCATCAAAGCAAGTGATTTACATTAACTTTTAGTTTGACTATATACTTTTTTCTTTTTTATTCCTATTTTTTACGTTGAGTCACATGATTGGTTAAATGATACTCACTTGTCCTATATAAGCATCTATGCCATTATGAGAACAGGGAGCCACGGCATCACATTCGGGAACATACAGTCCGGACAGAAAATCATCAAATCATATTAAAAATATATATCCTGACGATGGAGGAAAAGAATAATTCATTAGATAAAAATGATAGTACGATTCCCGCAGATTACGTCCATTATTTGCATTCTCACCCTGTAGAGACAATCGTTCTCCTAACCGTGCTATGTTTCCTGATTGTGTTTGGGACTTGCGGGAACTTATTGATAATCACAGCTATTGGAATCACTAAACAATTACGAAACAGAACACACAATTATTTTGTCGTCAATCTTGCGATTTGCGATCTCATTATAGCCGGCTTTCTTAATTCCTCTTTCGTTGCGACCATTGTAATGGGCGAGAAGTGGTTTTCTGTTAAGTCTATTTTATGCGGATCTATAGGATTTGTGTGCATGAGTAGCTGTTTGGCGTCTCTGGCATTGGTTGCCATTATTGCAATTAACAGATACATTGGTATATGTAGAAGTGAGATTGCCCACAAGGTTTTCAACAAGCGTAACACCATCATCATCAACATATTTGTCTGGATCTACAGTCTTTGGCTCAACATCGCCGTACTCAAAGGATGGGGAGAATATATTTATGACCGTAAGGCAATTGGTTGTGTTTGGAACAGGAAAACAAGTCGCGCATTTACATTAACCTTCCTTGCTGGTGTCTTTGTTCCGATCACTATAGTAACCATTTGCTATTCCCTGATTTTCTACAACATTTACAAAACAAAGAAGATGTTACAAGCACATGATAAATCAAACACAAGCAGATTGATGGATAGAGAAATCAAAATTGCGAAAGTCTTGTTCATCATCTTTATCATGTTCATGATTATGAACTCGCCGTATGTCCTGGTTATTGCCGCTGATCCATTTGACCGATGGCCTGTTGTTGTATATGTGGTTGTCGTGCAGTTGATGCATGCAAATGCATCCGGTGTTAACTGTATCATCTATGGACTGACACACAAGGCGTTTGCACAAGGTTACAGAAAGGTGTTCTACGGGCTTTTTAGAAAATGCGGGTACTCTGAAGATGTCGATGACTCAACGCTTGCAGAGTCCAAATCTACGAAATTGGATTATGTGCATACCGATGGGAACACAGTTGGACAAGCCCGCTCCACAACAACTATGGACACGATTGACACATTATGTAAAGATGAAAATATTAGTCCATCTGTGTCACATCAGTGTCTCCGTGTTGAGTTCAGAGAAAATGTAGTGCAACACCAAGAAACCAGGAAAAACACCAAACCAGAAACTGGTCTTAATTGTGATCCGGAGAATGCTGGGAAAATTGATGGTGATGAGACAATCGTAGCTGGAACAGCAGGTGATTTATTTGAAATTCAAGGTTATGCAGTGCAAAGACATCAGGAAAAAAAAGAACAAACATATTCGGTCTCGTTCTAATTTTGATTTCGAGAAGCCCGGTAAAGTTGATTGAAAAGAATCTTCTCCAATGAATACCACTGATAATTAAATTGATAAAGTCAATGCTAGATGAAAGAATTGAAACTTTTATAAATGACAGATGGCATCATTGATCTATGATGAACATGTATTATTAGTCGTTTTAGTGTGAAAATAAACTTTGCGACTTATATAGAAATGTAGATATGATATTATCGTCCATTAATTCCTGCGATCGCTACACTCATCTCACACGGCCATTCCAAAATAGGTCTGACTGATTATATTCTTGCATGTGTTGCTAAATGGTGTCAACTGTGCATAAATGAAGAGACGCAGCTAGAGGAACTTTGGAAGGGAAATGATTGGTATCGATATGATGAACTTTTTGAATATAAGGGAACATGGGGCAAAACGGCCCTGTGGGGCAAAGTGGCCCATCGAAATATCTTTTGAACTATAAAAAGATGGTTCTTCAAAAGTCACATAATCGAATTTTGAAATTTCCGCCACCTTCTCGACCGCCCATTTTAACCTAGCAGCGTTTCGCTTTATGTAAGAGATAATTCTACTTTTCACTCTCTTTTTTTGCAAATTAGCCCTCCCACGAGAATCTCTAAAAAATCCGACAGCAATAGAATATCGTTTTGATTTAACATTTTACATAGAGTATGCATATTTATTCTTTATTTGTAAAAATTTCGAGCTACAAATATCAGGAAAATTAAAATGACGTATATTTGAAAATTCACATGTCTTTGGGGCAAAGCGGCCCACAAAGGTTATAACATACAAAAATCGTATTGTACAAGATAAATTGATTTTCAAATATAGGGGGGGGGGGGGGGGGCGCGAACGTTGAATTTTTTTCCGGGTTCTAACGATTTTAACATTTGGTTTGTACCTTATTTCACTCCGACACATATCGAATGACTAGAATTATGGTAGCGGTTAAGAATACTTTATCTGTCAAAGGTTTGAACGGCTGAGATAAGATGTGTGTGGACGAGTCTTGTAATTGATTAATTTTGCTTTTAAAACCCATGTAACAGAGGGTGGGCCGCTTTGCCCCGCCCATGGGCCGTTTTGCCCCTCTCTCGACATTATTTTCGACCTTTGAAAAATCACAGAAGATAGTCCTAGGCAAGTATAAAACACTCGAAAAATGTAAACCACAACCCATTAATAAAGTGGAACATCAAAGTGCGTGATGATTGACAGATAAGAAAATTCCCCGTACGGAACAATTCGAAATTAAATTTTTTGGGCCGCTTTGCCCCAGGTTCCCTTACATTTCTCTTCAACCAGTCATCAAAAAATTATAAAAATTTTGCACATAGTCAATTTAATGGTCATCTTTTGAATGGTTACAATAGGATTTGAAAAAAATCTATAATATTTTAGAAAACACATCAGAGACTTATTTTGTTCTTGGTATCACATATGTTCGGAATGATCGAAATGAAACATCTTTCCAAACCTCACTAGAACAAAACGACATAAACACAACGTGTTTAGGTCTCTCAATTTTGTAATTAAGGAAATTTTGGTTGATTTTAAAAATAAATACTCTCTTGTTAATGAATTAATAAGGTTTATCTAAATTTTTATCTATTTTGGGGGTTTTGTTTTAATATTTTGAATACTTTTTGTAATATCAACCAAAATTTCCTTTGTACAATATTGAGAGGTCTAAGAAAATATTGTACAATGTATATGCTAGAAAGGAACAAGAAATAATTGCACTAGAAACAAATTATTTAAAAAACAGATATACAAGTCAGGAGAGTATAGTACATGACCTCTAACAGTGGGAAAAACAGTGCTTCAGTGGTTTGTACCGTAAAAATAGCATTGTGAGCCTGAGACGGTACATTATCCCAGTGCAATGTAAAACGTTCTTAGCTTCTTCCTCTCTGCGCTCATCAAATCTCTTCTGTGGGTATTGTTTTTCATCATTGACCTGTGTCATGGACTTTCTATGATCACATCAGTTTTCATTATATATTTATCTTTTCCGTGACATCAAACATCAAATTCGCAAGAAAATATGTAGCAGTGTAAACAAAGTATTAATACAATTAATGCTGACACCCACGTTTATTTCTTTTCAGTTTGAAAAAGATGTGCTTTTTTATCATTTTTTTGTTCAAATTGGACGCAATGAAATTGCCCCGGGTACCCCCGACTCCAGTTGCCATAGTAACTATAATATTATCCAAACAGATGGCAGAAGTTAGAATTTATATGTTTTAATTTAGAAATGTACAAGGTATATTCTGACCAAATTTCAGGATGTTTGGACCAATATTTACAAAATGCCAGTTACTTTTACCCTATTTATTGATCACCCTGTACTCGTAAAACGATACTCGTATGTTGATACTCATCTGGGACATTTTCAGTATATTTAAATATATAAATACTAGAGATACAAGTTTCACCCTTAAGAGAGGGTTATTGGGGAGATGTACAGAATCAAATAGTGTATTGGTTTATACTTTGTTGTACCATTTACATGTACATACACTCCCCTCCATAAGTTTGGCAACCTTTTTTCCCCATTGAACTACGTGTTAAAGCCTCTTTACCTTTGAATTTTTATTTACTTAACCGGCGAGGAAATAACTTATAATATTGATGGAAACGTAATTTGACTTTATTTCCAATACCTCCAAATTTTCGAAATTTTTTTCCTCAATTACAATAGGTCAAAAATTGATGATAAATTTGATGAATTTTTGAAAATCGTCATTCCAATGTAATCCAATGGGAAATGGAGGGTTCAGGGCAAATCAGAAATCAGGATATCTTTTCAGTAAAAGATTCAGCAAAAAATATTTTTATATAGAAAATTGAATTGTCTAACTTTTTTAAAACACTAAGTGTTTAGTTTATTTGATGAATATTAAAGTTACAGCGCTTCAAAGTCATTTTTGAAAATAATTTTTCGCCTCCTGTGTTATTTCAATGGGGAGTTTTTTTGAAAAACAACTTTGACTTTAAAGCCCTATAACTTTGTTGAACCTGAAGAAGCATATCAATTTTTTGTTAAATAAAGTTAGCAAATCTAATTGCCTGCCTAACTCGTATTTTTTGCAAGGACTCGGATGGATGGATATTCTGTCATATGACTTGCGGCAAAGCTACCATTTCCCATTGGTTAACATGGTAATGTCGATTTTCAAAAATTCATCAAATTTATCATCAATTTCCGACCTATTGTAATTGAGAAAAAAATTGAGAACATTTGGAGGTATTGGAATTAAAGTCAAATTACGTTTCCATCAATAGTATAAGTTTTTTCATCGCAGGTTAAGTAAATAAAAATTCAAAGGTAAAGAGGCTTTAACACGTAGTTCAATGAGGAAAAAAGGTTGCCAAACTTATGGAGGGGAGTGTATATCCTTAATTGCTTAATGTAAATTACAAAGTATACATTGAAAATAAACATATTGTTAATTAACATGAGTTATTCTTCTTTCAACCATATAGAATCAAATAAGTCTTAATTATTTACGTGAATCTACTTTTAATTATGATTTTATTTCAAGATCACCACGGGCTGAATGAAATATCCCTTATTAAAGGTGCACACTAGGCACGAGTACATTCACAGTTACGGATCCAGATATTAGGGGAACAGTGGGCCGAGGTGAATTAAATGTGTCAGGCTTTGAATAGTTACACCTAATAGTATTCAATACTTACCATTTTCTCGTGTCGATTTCATATCAATGGTATTTTACAAAATTGTCACAAAACTAATAAATTCCTCACAAAAATAGTTTTATTTTTATACTATTATTATATTTTAAAAACATAATCTTATAATGCGCAGTATTGAAGTATTGATCTGATGAGTCGCCATGTGCACACAAATCGTTGGCATATTTCAAAACCTATCTAACTTTAAGTTTTGACATTGTTTTTTGTCTCATGCACCCAAGAGAAACATAACAATGGAAAAACATTATTAAATACAAAAAACAGTTATTCTGTACTTAAGCTGTTGCATTGTTATTATTTTGTCCCTTGCTTATTCTGTTCGGATAAGCGTGTAAGATTTCAATAAATCCTCTTGACGTTGTTGAGAAGGTCGATTCTCCAATTGCAATTGATAGTGTCTTGTATCTGTATAGAATATATTCTGTTTTTTGGGCGTCCAATTCGGAAAATGTATCCTGTCGCTTGATGTTGTCCCCTGAGTAGATGTATATTGTGGTTTTGGCAAGTTATCGGAACGATGTATTCTGCAGTAATGTGTCCCTCACATAGAGGGGTTTTTGTGTAGGGCTACCTATCTGATGTGTTTTTAGGTTTTTGAGCTGTCTTTTTGTTCATTAAAGCTAGTTTGTATTGCTGCCAACGCTCCTGGTCATAGACTACACGCTGGGCGTCATCTAAACTCATGTATTCCTTGTACTGGAAAACAGAAAATAACAGGTATATTGATTACCATTCAAGTTAAATGCTATGTCTTCGAAGGAAAGGTCGTTTTAAACTGCAATGTACTATATTCTAGCATGATGACGGACAGTCTAGCTACAGCAAATGCATTGCAACAATCATATAAAATGTGTTCTATTCCCTTTGGTCACATGTAACTTGTCCTGTCACTCAAAATATAAAATCTACCGATTTCGATTCAAAACATCAAAAAGGTATTGAGATTCTCCACTTCAAATCAAAATACTGTACTTCCGGGTGTATTTCGATATTTTGACATCGTCCCTAGATCTGATATTAGAAAATAAAGTGCGAATGCGCATGCGTAAAGACCACACGAGTGACATCGTCATGAGTTTGTCTTACCATTGTTTCAACTTTCAACATAGTATTGTTCTGTGCGTGCTGTAGGAAGAATCGTTTATTGACACGAATGATCTCTGCCCCATCACTCATTAGTGAAACTCCGCGTTCCTCTGATGCCAGTGTTGCGTGTAAATGATCAACTCCCTGAAACGAAATTATATTATAAATATGTAATTATTCAAGAGGTATGATCCCTGACATATCAAATTGATGTCTTGTTCAATGACATAATTTATTAAACGATTCCAGCTAGTTACACATGTTGGGAGTCCAACTATTATGCAGTACCTACCTATTCCGTTTGGCCAAATCATTCTAGGCTTACCTATTAAAGTATTTTTGTTTCGTCACTTTAATTATTTTTTAAATGCACTCGATAGATGTATCTGTCTTTATTTTTATTCAAACTTACATATGTATTTATTCGAGTCGGAATACTTGAATTGGTAGCCCAGCAGTTATAGTTTCATGTGCGTATCATTTAGCTTTAGGTATATAATAATTTATCTATGAGTAGTCCAAGTGCCATAAAATACAAATGTAAAGCGGCTGGAAAGTGAAGTTGATAATGTGCTAAAGCGGCCTAATTCTAATGAAGGTAGGCAGAGTTTAACTACCGGTATTTTGAAACAAATCTTTCTTCATAATATTTCAAATGCTCAATGTCTACATAAAGATAGTGTTGTAAATATATTTCTTTCAAGCTTTAATCACGTCATAATTACTACTACTTTGGGGTCAAAATTGCAAAATTATTATTTTTCATTTTTGCTTTATAAACTATCATAGACATTTACACCTGTAACAATTAAGAAAATCAAAATATATTTGAAATTGAAAATAAATTCCCAGAACATTCGTGAAAGACATTGTTATCATCGTAGACGTCGTAAAGACATTCATTTCTAAATCGTCTGACCCTCAAAGTACAATTACTTTAAAATAGTCACAAGCTGGTGTCGAGTGATTTGTCCGCTGTGCGACGGAGCATGCTATTTTTCATAAAATGAAAAGTAACCTGCTCCGTGTTGTGACATGTGACGGAGCATGCTATTTTTCATAAAATTAAAAGTAATATGCTCCGTCACAGCGGATAAATCCTTCGGTACCAGCCTGTGATAGTATCTGAATTAAATAGTGTCATTTCTATACACTTCTATATGTGTGTGTTTGACTACCCTAAACAAAATCACCGTGGTTGAATGTGCACTATACTAAAGAAGCAAATCTATGAAACACGTGCGTTTTTGTTACCTCACGACACCGTTGGATTATATTTCCTTGTAAACCCTGTCAGTGAAAATAAAATATTGAAAACAGAGTTAGAACATGAGGGTTAGATAATGAATCAAAATGTGAGTAAAATAATAATGATAATGTATGAAAGGTGAAGTAAAACAGAGTAAAGCATGTTTGGGAGAATGTATGATATGAAGAAGCGCACGTACACATGTTTCAGAGGATTGTGATATTAGGATGAATACAGCATCTCAGTTAGGGAGAGAATTAAAAAGTGAATTACGTTATGTTAAAATATTTACAAGTAAAGTTGCACGTACAGACAGTTTAGAACAAATTTTAATAAACATTATAAAACTAAACTATTATCTTTAATGCATGTATGCTTAATATATTAGATGTTTTTAGAATAGCAATAAACATAAGAATGGTCATGATTAGGACATTAACAACGTGAACAATACACAAAAAACTTTAGATAAGTTTAGATGAATATTGTATATAGTATTACAGAGATTAACTAAAATGAAAGATCACAAATCTGAATAAACTTACAAATACGTCACCGGGCCCGAGTAAATCAAGCTGGAGATATGCCTTTCTGTGAGTTATAACTTCCTTGTCTTCATCATTATAAACTTTTGCTATTGCCTCATCCACCTGCGTTTTTTCCCGAGTCAACCAGAGGGAATGTGGTTCAAATGAACCTCCTGCGCTTGATCTGTCCTCTTTTGTTGGGATGTTTATGATTGGAGGAAGGTTGACGTCTTTTCTCCGCTTTTTCTAAAACAAAAAATCTTTGTGAGTTATGATGGAAAAGTGTACTGTCATCATGATCGTAATTATAATCCGAGATATTTAATATTATGAAGTCCCACTCTTATTCTTTTTAAAATTAAATGATAGTTCAATACCTTAGGTGTTTGACTGGGTGAGGCACCATCAATCACCAAAAGTGGGTTTATATCATCGACTATAGAGGGCGCTGATGTCATGACATCATCAGCAGACGACACCTTAATGGCTGGATTTTCAAGGAATGTGCTTTGTTCTTTAGGAGTTGATGTTTGACTCGATCTGGTAGGTTCCAACAAAGATTGAATTGGTGACATCGGACTTTTCCTATACGTAGATTCAGCAGTTTGTGGTTTATCTGGTAGACTCTTCTGTAAAATATATAAAAACTTTGTCAAAGCCCCTAATATAATAACGTTTCTGGTAGACTAAAAGGTGTATATTATAAATATCAATATTTGAAATTAATTCATGATCAATATATAAAAATATATAAAAACTTTGTCAAAGCCCCTAATATAATAACGTTTCTGGTAGACTTAAAGGTTTATATTATAAATATCAATATTTGAAATTAATTCATGATCAATACGCTATGATAGTATCTGGGCACTAGGATTACTATAGCAAATACAAAAGTTGTACAAAATAGTTAAAATATGGGCATTGTTGTTAGGGCGACCTTCTTTGCATATGATATATGAATACTCAATTAGTACAAAATTAGTACTAAATTAGCACAAGTGCACTCAAGAGCACAATAAAATTACTGCTATATTATCACTCGTCATATGAGTACTCATTTAGTACTAAAATATCCAATAAATCAGTACTCATGTCATAAATGCCCATTTAGTGCAAAAAAGTTACTAGAAGGAGTACTCAATTATGGTTTAAATGCTATAAGTACTATTTTAGTACTCGGCATATATCCCTGTGTAGGCCTACCCAACATAAAACCACTTCGACTTGTACCTACCTGTATTGTTGTCAGCTTCCGTAATTGCTCTATTCTAGATAGTTTTTTAGGTATCATGTTATCACTTTTATTTCTCTTGTGTTTTCTATGAACTTTTTGGTCATTTTGAAGATTTGGCACATCAAGCCCGAGTGTACTTCCATAAGGATTTGACACAATATTATTATCTTTAATGGTAGATATCTGAAAATAATAACGTGTACGTTTTCATGTTTGTTTCATAATACTCAATGCTGGTAAATGAATTAAAACACGTATAGTTTCTGATACATAAATTGCCCACACGGTTTATTTTATGCTTTAATATACAGCACAGGTGGCAAATGCGAAAATACCAAATACCAATACAAAATATCAATTCAAGATAAATTAAAATATTCGAGAGCACAACCCGACTTAAAAACAATATCCAGGCTAGTAATAACCTAAGGAAATAATTTCAAACACCCCTCGGACAGTTTACAGTGAATATTATTACCATGGCAAAAGGCTATTCCACAGTATGAAGTCATCATAATTAGCACTAAATAAATAACATAATTTATCTAAATGAATTATTTCGAATTGCATATACCTCTGGGAGACTAAGCATTGTTTTCATTTTCTTTTGTTTGGCCATCACTCCTAACATTGCTGAAAGAACAAAGATAGATGTGGCTAATAATGCTTTTAAGCCTAGCCTAGCCTAGCCCAGCACTATATTGTACTGTCTATATCATATAAATAAATAAATAAATAAATAAATAAATAAAAGATAAAAGATTGTTAGCTTAGAAAACAACAATTGTGAATATCAAGTAAGATTTCAAAAAAGATGCTAAAACTGCGTGTGGAACAAGACAGTTCGATTATTTAAAAATGCTATGTAATAAAGCCTGTTGATGGGTGTGAAACAGGTTCTGACTTATTCTCATTTTTGTATTTCTAGAGGCAGTTTTAGTCATTAATAAACAAAAGATTTGAATATATATAATGCACACTGTAGAGTTATCAGTTGTTTGGCCATCCTCAAACTAAATTATATAGGAATAGAATTATACAAGGTGGCGCAAAAGTAGGTTTATACGTTCAACAATCTTTTACAGTAAACCCATTTTGGGCCATCCTGCATATCATTGAAGGAATTTTGAATATAGGTGTTTTGTACAATTAACCAACCATCGGCATGACTAAAGGATTTTCCACTGCCCATTTCTTGTTCATTCTGGGTGTCAAATAGATTGTCCTGTCTTGTATCTATCACATTTTGTATTCGTATCACTTTAACAAACCCCTAAAATGAATAAAAAAAAGTCATTTAATCGAATTAGCTATCAAATTTACTGATTAGATACTATTCAACACATCTAGCAAAAGGAGGGCGAGTTGTTTGTAGAATGAATCGGGGGATTTTTTTCATGAATTTCGCTTATGTTTTTCATCCAAAAAACATCAATACACTTTAAAACATTTTGTTTACTTTAAGATTACACCATGTAATCCAAAAATATATTTCTCGTTTTCAAAGATAATCCATGGATTAACACCCAGGTATTTTTATTTTTCAAACTTCAGAGGGCTGGGAATCATTGATGCTCAACGCTTTTGAATATGATAAATGCTGTTTTAAATAGGTTTTACATATGCCATTAATTTCTCAAATTATGTAAGCTGAATGCGCCCTAGAATATTCTCTTGGAGGAATCCAATGGTAATCCAATGGTAGTTCCAAGCAGATTTTTAGATGGCAGGTAAGTGAATTCTTTAGTACTCGCCTTATTGGGTTGAGTTAGTTTATATTCAAAAATTATATATGATTCTGTAAAGATGTCAGTGTGGATGCTATATAGATTGCACACGTATGGTAAGCTGTATAATCCTATATTATGTAACACGAGTACAGTTTTGGTTGACATGATTGTGACTGAGTGAGAGATTAAACTCTTTAAGGTTGTTCTGCATGTTGATAATTTTTACTAATTTTGGTGATGAATAAATTATCTGATATTTATAAATTGGGCAAAATTTTTTACATTTTAAGTGGATATAAAGAATTATGGTAACATACACATGGACCATGCATACACATACAATTACAAATGTGAAAATATTGTCCCTTTCATTGATTATCGGTATTTATAATCATGAAAATTATTGAAAAATATCGAGACATGTCTACCTTAAAATCAAATTGGCTTACAAGTACTCTAAGCTATTTTTACATTTTTATTGCAAGAAAATCTTTTTGCAAGGGTTACAAAGGTTGGAATATTGTGGTGGCTCTATTTGGCTGGAGTTTAATATTCAGACCTAGCTAATGGTATTATTACATTTATATGTACACTAGTATCTTGTTGACCTATATTCAGCACTGTATTGATGAATGGGCCACTTATTAGGGCCAATATTCAATCATAAAGTGTACAGGGGTAGAGATGCCAAACCAAGAAGTCTTTTTGTGTCTGTCAAAATCCATTTGCATCCTACACATCCCAACATATTATCCAAATATGTTATTAATTAATGAAACATAACAGTATAATCTTTGGATTTAGAAAGTTGTATGGGATTTCATTAGTATAAAAGTTGCTTTTGAAGCATTTTTCTATAGCCATTTTGTAGGAAAAAATGATGGAAAAAATGTATAATCTTTTAATTTGAAGTATGACCTGAATCGATTGCAAACTTTATATTTGCACATCTGATGTGATATACCATTTGTGTCATACTGTGAAATTATTTAATTTGCAATCGATTCAGGTCATAGTGTATTTTAGGTATTTTTGTGAAAATCAATAGAAACCAATGGCCTCTATTGGAATTGATGATATCCACATGTTAAGTCAATGGAGCCCATTCAATGGCAAGTCAATACACCCTTGCTGAACTAAATGACCTCAACCTCAGCCCATGTGGGTCCAAACGCCCAAATATTTTCCACAGTATTATGTGACATTGAATTCTTTATGTTACACCTAAAAATGATTCATTTTGTTCATGGGGATATCATAATGGAAAGTGCACTAGACCCTAATTGTAATTGTATGATATTGTATTTGTGATTTGAATATACACTGTGATATTTGAGAAAAAGAATGTTTTGTTTTAGTTTCATTGCAATTTATAACCCTAATATCCTTCCCAGAATCCTTCCTTGTCTTCCAATTTTCTAATAACCTCAGAAGTTCCTACTTTTTAAAAAAAATACAATTTTCCATGATCATTTTTATGTCACCACCACAAGTGGTGACATATTGTTATGGTCTCAAACTTTTTTGTGGACGGTGTTCAGTGGTTGGTGTTTATCATTTGGCAGTTGGTGTTTGGCAGTTGGTGTCTGTAACAAATGGCAGGTGTTGACATTTTGCATGTGAATGCCTTGTCTTATAATGTAGCCAACTGCAATGGATGTAAAACGGATACAGTTAACTAATACATTTATTGGCATCAATTCAAATCATATGCTAATTTTAAATGAAAATGCTTTTTTTCATGTTTTACCACTCATAAATGCCATAATATCTCGATGTCACATTCAGGAAAATATGGCTATCAACAAGTTTTGAATTCTTACAATCCTGGAAGTTGTACATGTAAGCATACACATCTGTCAGTTCAGTTTATGTGTAAAAGTTAATCCCCTAAGCCTTAATACCTGATGCATGAAATATTATGGATGAGTTACATAATATGTACTCGTGCTATTTAGGTAAATGTTGTGCTGTTTCACCAGATTTGACTGACATCTTTAAATAACAACAATTTGATTTGATGATCAGGCAGCAACAAAACATATTAAGTGGCCAAGACAAAAGAATGTTATTATGATAGGCATTCTAGGGATTAAGGAATGCATTCAGCTTACATAATTTGAGAAATTATTGGCATACGTAAAACCTATTTAAAACAGCATTTATTGTATTCAAAAGCGTTGAGCATCATTGATTCCCAGCCCTCTGAAGATTGAAAAATAAAAATACCTGGGTGTTAATCCATGGATTATCTTTGAAAATGAGAAATATATTTTTGGATTACATGGTGTAATCTTAAAGTAAACAAAATGTTTTAAAGTGCATTGATGTTTTTTGGATGAAAAACATAAGCGAAATTCATGAAAAAAATCCCCCGATTCATTCTACAAACAACTCGCCCTCCTTTATTTATAAATATTTTAACGAATATATTGATACAGGTATCGTTTGTGATTCAAACTTAATGGTTTCATATGCCACATACCGATTTAACTATGTGTAACCATGGCGTCCTGTTGGCGTCCTTAACTACCATTTTATTGGGCGCGTGGTATCTGCATTCTATTGTGTCGAGATTGCAGCGGAATTCCTCAACAGGAAACTCTTGGAAAAGGTCAATGGTTCTGAGAAAATCTATGGGAGGGCCTTGTGTTGTGTTTAATAGGTACATAAATGACTGAAAGCAGAAAAGAATATTGAAATCAAATACATAGTACGAAGATTAGCATCAAACAGGCTATCCAAGAAAATTGTGCATTTACGCTACACTGCAACACGTACATGTGGGCCCGGCCGTCCTTTCAAAATCATGCAATCTGAACATTCTGAGCACGTCCAAGTGAGCTTGGGCCACTTTTAGGCCAAAGGATGGGGGTCGCTTTACAATGGATGTTTTTAGCCCCATATTATATAACATTACATAATATTGTTTTTGTATTTGACTATATACATGTATTTTGTAAAATATATGTATACAATGTAATTTATTATTTGTGAAAAGTTAATACATGCAAATTGAGCCACCAACCGCATTGTTAAATGTTGTTCTTTCTAATTGGGTAACGTTATAGTATCAAATGATAGCGACGTGATATAAATATGTAGATACCTGCAGGTCAGTTCATGTATATAAAAAGGACAATTTTTACTTATAACTTATTTTACCATTAGCTCTAGTCAACTTAAAGCATTTTACATTAACTATTTTAGTGTCTTTTTACACTCATAGATAATTCAATATTAATATTTTATATAAATGTATGTATTGAAATTTGCATAATGGGCAAATATGCCTGTTGCATCTTAAATAAATAGAAATAGAAGTAGGTATATGCATTTCGAAGTAAAAGTACAGGGTGTTTCATAAGAACTCCCCATAAGATAATATATGACATGATAGGGTGGCAATGCTTTATGTATGAGTGTATGGGGGTTGCATACATATGGAACACCCTGTATATTGTATAAAGAATTATAACAAATCGGCAGTTACCTCTTTATCTAAGATTAGAACTTCAACGGGTCCCTTGCACACAAGATCATACTCAAGACGCCATTCTCTCTCCATCTCTTCAGCCTAAATCAACCGAATTGTCAATTTTACAGATATTATAAAGCTGTGTTTTTAACTGTTGTACAAAGCACTCAGATCGATCCGATTGAGATACTGGGGGTTCGATTCTCTGAGCATTGGATTTTGAATCTTTCAAATAAATTAAAACATGAATTTGGATATTTTTATCTTAGATAATCAATAACTTCTAAATAAAGTAAAATAAACAGTATCTCAATTTCTTTTCAAAAAAGGAACAATGTAATGATTTGTATTTGCTTCTGACAGTTTGTACACTTTCTTTCCAACCGAACACCCTTGAAATACAGGCTACTTACATCAGTTGTCATCCCTTTTCCGAGATGACCCATAGCCTTTGTCACTACACCATTGTTTAGTTTGTAATGCCTCATTTTGTTCACTGTAAAAAAATTAACATAGGATGTACATTATGTAATTAGGTACATGTATATAGTATGTATCATATAATATATGTACTGTATATACTCATATTTTATAGTTGCCATAACAAGGTATAAGAGCCAACAAATAGGTCTAAAAAGAAAGTCTTATGACCAGTTAAGGAATTGTCTTGTAAAGATCCTGGTAAAGATGAATACCTGTTTATTTTTTCATTTCGATCAGTACATAATTAATAAATAATCCATAAAACATGTCTGGTCATCCTCTGATCACAGGGCTTTAAGATCCAGAATATCTGAAGGTGTATGGAATCTGGACACCTACTTAGGGGGATGATGTCTAGGATGATAGTACATCCGTTAGCCTTAATGAAAAAAAAGTTTGCTGTTTCCTGTTCAGAAAATTCAAGAGGTGCTAATATTTCCGATCCATGAAAAAGGTTTCAGTTCATTTTGCAAAATCGAAGCACCCCTGCTGGGACTCGAACCCAGAATCCCCGGTTTAGGAGACCGATGCCTTATCCATTAGGCCACAGGGGCTGGCTTACGTCAGTGACTGGTTGTGGGATCACACAATAAACTTTAAAATGGACCGTCCTTTACGTTCAGACACAACTTTATTTCAAAAATGTTTAAAAAGGAAGTGCTGGTAACTGTGAATTGAAAGTGAAATGGGAAGCAGTTGATTCTTAATTACGGAATCATGGCCCAGATTGGATATGGCTCTGGTACTGATTTGATACGAAAGTAAAGTCAACTTACCTCGACCAGTGAGAAAGTAATAGAACCTCTGCGGAGGAACACCTTGCTTGGCAATTATCCTACCATCGTCATACCTAATGTAAGTAAAAAAAATATGAAGATGTCTTGTATTTGTTCTCCCTTCCAAAAGGGACAATTAATAAATTTACTATCGTTACGTTTTGTGTCTGTAACAAATTGTCACACTTTGTATTAATTTATATATGCAAGCGTTGATACTTCGACAAATGATGACATGTATTGTGTATACAACACACGGTGCTATGCAGTGATTTCTATATTTATAAAAACCTCATTAACACTACTCCGACTATTCGATAAGATTCAAAGACAAGGAACAAATACAATTTTTTCAGTGATACAAGTGTATTTCTTTAAAATCAATTTCTGATTAGATGGATTAATTGTACAGACGGAATGTTACAGACTGTTATGTACCTCTCATATGCCAATAGTCGTCCCAGTTCTCCTTCCATTTCAGCCGGAAAGAGGCTTTTGAAAGCTTTAGTTGCTCTTAGCATCCACATTGCTTTCGCATGCTGCTTGTTTGACCTAAACTCTGGTTGGGTCGTTAATGCCCATTCCATCTCCTGCCCAACCTAAAGCAGAAAATTACAGTAAAACTTTAAAAATGCCAAGTGTTTAAGGTATACAGTCCACTCTCTGCTTCGCTCTCTCTTTTAAAGAGATTCGCGGAGCTGATTGCAAGAGATTGACTAGTTATTACTATAGTCTGAGTTGGCCCGGGGGTGTTGGGACCAATACGATTGTAATGGTCAATGGAATTTGAATATGAGAAAATGCTAGCCACTATGGATGAAGGTATCCTCCTGCCCAACCTAAAGCGGAAAATTACAGTAAAACTTAAAGAAATGCCAAGTGTTTAGTATTATACATTTCACTCTCTGCTTCGACGTTCTCTTTTAAGAGAATCCCTGAGCAAATTGTATGAGATTGACTAGTAACAATTACTATAGTCTGAGTGGGACAAATTAACACACGGTGTTGGCCCGGGGGTGTTGGGTCCAATCAGATTTGAATGGCCAAAGAAGTAGTCATGGAATCGGTTTAAAATGTGACAAAATGCTAGCAACAAACAAGGCATTACCGTGCAAAATATCACCACCTGCCATTTTGTACATATGTCGAACTCTGGCCGCCCAACACCAACCGCCGAAACAATGGATACTTTAACAATATGGCATCACTTATCACTTCTGGTAGTGACATAAAATCTAATGATTATACCTTATTCAAAGAACCCCTGCGAAGCTAAACTAGGAAACTATAACGAAGGAGAAAGCAAAAAATGACAATTTACTTACGCTTGCCTTGCTAGATCGGAGTTTGGCCATCCCCTCTGTTATTGTCTCATTCTGCGTCTTTGTCTTTCCTGGCACCCCTGCTTTCTCGGCAATGTAATAACTGAAAAGTTGAATGAATAAATGAATAAATAAATATCAATGTCACGAAGTGGGACACTGGGATTTCACACGGTTCTGGTATGAATGTGATGAAAAGTATACTAGTATCTAACAATTTGTGTGCGAAAAATCTTTCGAATGGTATACGATATTATCGAAAAATCATAGGCAAAGGTCGATAGAAATAATTTTTAAATAAAGATGACATGGTAATAGATCTGTGTTTATTTATAAATATTCTCTAATACTGGATTCTGTTGGTGCTGCCATCTATATATCGGACAAGAACCTATGGGAAAAATAGTTCTCAGAGTTTTTAATGACCACTTAATGGAGGCCGTATTTATTTGCAAAAATCTGTACGTTTGTGGATCACATTAAGACAATAGAGATTGGGTTCAGGAAATAAAACCATTAAAGGCCACGTGCAATCATCCGAATATTAGTATATGGGGCCTTTTTGGATTTCATCGGGATAAAATACAATTAATATTCAGAACGTTCATAAAATGATGAATCTGATAACATTTAGCCTTAAGCGAAGTTTTAGTTCAACAATTCCAAAAAGCGTTTTTATAAACGTTTTGACAGAAATAGGCTAATAGACGATTACTTTTAGTCGTGTACCCCTTTTCTAGAATTGACTAAAAGTACAACAGAATTTTAACAAAAATACCAATGACAAGAAAGAACATGAGACCCATAAAAACAAAACGAATTCAATTAAGTTCAATAAAGTATGTTTTTTATAATACCTTGAACCTTGAAAGTACTCACTTTTTTCTAAACATAAACGCCTTACAAAGCATCAGTGCCATTCTGGCGGCATATCTGAACCTATCCTTCAGCTGAAAACAAAAGCATTATTGAAATTATTGAATATACACTCCCTATCCAAAGCATAATATTGATTCCCAATTCAGATTGGATAACATGATGTTTTGTCCAACTTACATGTACCAATCGTTTGTACGAGAGTGTCCCACGATATTTAAAATATTTGATATATGCAAACAGATTGTTATCAACAGTCGTTATACCTTTGCCCACGGCAGTGGGAAACTACATCCATAGTACATGCATTTTTTGTTAATGTAAAAATAGACAGGGCAATCATTTCATCATTTGCATTGATGAAACCTTGGGATGATAACGGCGTGTACAGTGTATCGTAATATTATTAGGCCAGAGCATGGGCATTCAATATTGAAAGCCCATGGTCAGAGCAAGTTAAATCTTTTTATTAATGTTGTCTATAATTGATAGTTTTATTTATTTATAAAAGTAAAAAAAGGTTTTGGGGGAACAGTCATATAAAAACAAAACAGATTTTCAGCCAAAATATTTTAGCTGGATTATATATCGGAAATCAAATTTCACCTGAAACAAAATAGTTTACGGAAAACGTCTATTTTGGAGATGTATATAGTATCAATTACGAGCACCCGCCCCCCCCCACCACCCGCCCCCCCCCCTACAATCCCCCTCACATCGAATATGAAGACAGTTATATTCGTCGATATCATGATATAGAGTCAGACAGATGATTTATCTTTTCCTCGCAATTATGAACGCATCATGGGTTAGCGTGTAAACATTCATTCGGTATCCAGGTATCAGTCCTTCGAAATATATTTTTAGACAACGTAAATAATAAATTGACTACAGGGCTAACATTCAAACATATTCAGTGGATGGTATTTCGTTTACGATTAACTTGCTTATCATTAAAGTTCACATTATTTTTACATGTATTTATGTTTACGGTCGGATTGAAGTATTATACATTGATAGGATAATATTGCATGTTGGACAAGCTGACGACTACAAGTAGATATAAAAGTAGAGCAAAAATATTTTAAATTGAACGACTAGCAGCCAAGGAAAACAGTGAAAAATCAACTCGTATAATTCTATCAAGTTGGGACAGTAAATGCGAAACACCTTGTTTGTACGACCAGCAGCTAAGACCGCATATTTTGAAATTAACGTTTTAAAATGTCTTTGGAAAAGCCACCTGGGTTTGAAGAGCATGTGAATGGTCTCCCTATATTGCATGGCCAGAAAGGTGGGTACTCGTTTGGAGGTATAACAGTTATGATGACGATGCCTCGAGACACCCTGGAAGCCATCCCTAATATGGAATTGTATAAAGATGACGTCATCGTCGCAGGGTTCCCCAAAACTGGTGAGAGTAAATCTACACTTTTGAATTATAAAGACTAGCATGTCCTAAATTGTTAACTAATCCAAAATTATAAATATGCCGTTGAATTAACACCTTTTATATGCTAGTACACAGGACAGGTTGAATGATGCATGCAGTCCTGTTTTTACTCCATATTTCCAATGGAACAACCATTCTTATTGAAATTTTCAAGATTTATTCGAGAGACAATTCCCAACATGGAAATTAAATATTTTAATAAAATTCCTAATTTTAAAATTTTGTCAGGCTTTTTTTTCAAAAAACACTTCACTGTCAATGAAATACAGGTTTTTCCTTGAACAGCCGAACTTTTAACTTAATTTCAAATGTTGTCTGGCTATTGAATTTTTGGCCGGCTAAAGTTTTTCAAGATACATTTGTTGCTATCAATAATTATGGCTGATTATTGTTATTCATTTCAGTCACATTCAATATTATTAAAGTACATTAGGCCAATCGAAAACTTGTTGCTCTGTGTCTCGTTTTGTCAAGCGTTCCCTAGTAAGCCCAGATAGAGGAGGTCAAATCTTCTTGTCAACGGACACGAGTTCAGCCCGATCAAACTTTTCAATTACTATCCCAAATGAAGTAAAATATTACAATGCTTCCTAATCAATTGGTTTAATGAATTCTGGATACCATTTTCACAGGCGGGGGCTGGCTGCAGGAAATAACATATCTAGTCCTGAACGACGCCAACACAGAAGCTGCCAATGCGACCCCAAGTTTCCAACGTATTCCGTTCATAGAAACCCTATCCAAGGAAAACCTACTCGGCCTCAAAAACGCCCAGCGTCCAAAGATATTAAAGACCCATCTCCCAATGAGGATGATTCCGGACCATTCGAAGGTTGGAGCAAAGTTAATATATTCAACTAGAAACCCGAAAGATGTCGCAGTGTCCTTCTATCATTTCCACAGAATGAATATGAGTATGTATGAATGGGAGAGGGGTTGTGATTATTTGAATCATTCAATTTCCTTAATTCTCGATCAGTATGTAGTATTTCGAATTCGTTACATCAGTTATACCCAATCATAGTAAGGGATGGAGAGGGATCCCCTAGCAGAGTCGCTGCTAAACAACTAACTAGAAAATTCTTATTCTTCAAAACATGTTTGATATTACTCATTGTGAAATAGTTTTGAACAATTTATATTTTGATGATATTTTTATATTGATGTTTTTCAGGCAAAATTGCCATTTAAATCTTTTATATTATGTCAACTTCCCTTGAATATATGATTCCTGAGTGAATTGATAATTTCTAAGTGGTTTTTCTCCTCGTCCATGCCACAGTCCTTTTTCCAATAATTTCAAATTGGATCACATCTCAATTCTTTTTTTTTCAGAAAATAGAATCCATATACCTTCTAATTACAAACACTATAATATCCATGTATAATATCAAATTGAAATGCTAGGCGCATATTAGAAAATTGAGGCTATTTTAAATTTGAGATCCAATTTTAGGCTCCAAATTGATTACCATAATCGACTCTCTTGGAAACATCCAGTCCAGTCGAATTATCGTCATATTTCCACTTATTTCAGCTATGCATGCTGGTGACTTTGACGAATTTCTTGAGCTCTTCATGTCCGATGATATAGCCTATGGTAACTACCTGAAGCACGTAGCGGACTACACGAAAGCAGCCGAACAAGCTGACAGTAACGTCCTCATTATCAAATACGAGGATAACCATAAAGACCCAGAAGGAACCATCAAGAAGATCGCGGAATTTTGCAACAAGACGCTGACACAGACCCAAATTGATGAAATCCTTGATCATACGACCTTCAAAAACATGTCCAATAATCCAAGTACGAACTATGAAGGCGCTTGGTTTTTCGATCAGACCATCTCGAAATATTTGCGCAAAGGAATTGTGGGCGACTGGAAGGAATCCTTCACGTCGGAACAGACTGAGAAATTTGATAAATGGCTTAGGGACGTCTCGGAAAGTACTGGAGTTACTTTCGGTTAGCGAGAAACAATTAATTCTCAATCATACCATCTGGACCAGATACACTCCCCAGTGGCGGATCCAGGAACCAACAAGGGGGGGGGGCAAATTTGAGGTCCTTTTGGGCCCCTAAAACCGAAAAGTGGGCCCAAATTTTGAAAATTTGAGGCCCATTTTCTTCAAAATTTGGCCTAAAATTAAAAAAATAAGGCCTTAGAAGGCCCAATAATGACCAAAAGGCCCACTTTTTGGGGCCTTAAGGCCCCTCCTGAAATTTAGCAATTTTGTCTCCAACATTATAGACCGTTTATGTAACTTTGATTTTTAAATGGCATAAGTTCAGAAAATAACGAATTGAACTTTTAATCGTTAAATACAAAACGGGAGTGTACATTCTTACCAGTGAATGGGAACATATGAAGAAAATAACATTTGTATAGATTAATAATAAAATAAATAACGTATCGTAATGACCGTTCATAGCTTCGCTTAGTCATTTGTAGAATATGTTTCTAAACGCATTGAGAGGAGTGCAAATGAATCAAAAACGCATTGTCATGGTAATGGAGTAGCCAGCGGAAGCTCTACACGAATTGAACGAACGTTTTACCTAGAAAGGGTAAGATAGGGTTTTGTTTTTTTATAATCTGACCATCGTGTTTGATGAGGTAGCATTCGCGAATTCAACTGCCGGTTGACGGTTAATTTTAAGGGAAAACCTTTTCAAATGTAATTGGAGAAGAGTGACAGGTAGTATTCATATTTAAATTGATTGGCCATAAAACAGTAGATTAATCCATCAGCTGTCAGTTAAATTCGCAAATGCAGCTACCTCAATGTGAGTGCTGAAAATAATAGGAATACTAGTACTTACCGTCCAGTCCTTTCTCCTCTGGCGTCTGAATTCACTGTATGCGAGGTTCCCCATATCCTAGAAAATTTGAAACAATCATTAAATAATTAATTCACTAAAATTTTATCAGGAAAATAGCACAAGAGGATGCTTTCTCCAAATGATAAACCTAATTGGAATTTTACCATCACGATTCCCTTCTTCTTTCGTTACTGTAATCCAACTCAGTGGAGTCCTATGTTCGGAATGTGTATATGTATTTTATGTATATACTCGAAGGTCCATTATTACCAGCTTCCTAGTTACGGAAAATCCCAAAGTCTATTGTTCTTTTACGGTCGCATAAACCCTTCCATTGGAACATGGATTATACCAGTGACTTAAATCATGAATATTTCTCCTAAAGATTGATCCGTAAAATTCTAGATTTTATCACGCGTCAATGAGTACTTTCATAACAATAACGTTAAATTCACTTGTTATAAACTTGAACTCTTTAATCATGTTCATTTGTCTAGTTAATCAAGAATTCTGATAAACAGCTATTTAGGTATTAGGGTTAAGTTAATAATTGTTTTGGTTTTATGACCAATACTTCCCACGGATTAACTGAATACCCGGGAACTTGTAAATGTACCGAACGAAACTAGCGATAATTTTTCATTTCTGATTTCCCAAAATCAAGCTAAACTCAGATTTGATCAACAATTAATGGTACAATAGATAAGCTTTAGTATGTAATGGACGTTAACCAAATATAGATGGCATCGCAGGCAATCGTCCCATAAAATACATAGTAATCATAGATTTATGTGATAAAATTAATTGTGAAACAGATGTAAAAAAATAATGTAATAACGTACCATTATCATCTTCCTTGACTCTTCATTTACTTGTTGCATGATATTTTCCACCTCTCTCTTTGGTCTGACCATCTCGTGCACCTCTTGCATTCGCTTTTGTATTGGCAGAAGGGGGTCATCATCTGAAAGTGTAGCCGCATACAGTGCATACATTTGTATTAAAGCACGGTTTGTGCGATAATATTGATAGCAGGGATACTCATTTAAAAATGCTTTGTTTCGGAAACAATCCATCTTGTGCATTTACTAGGTTAAAAAGGTCATCACCCGAACGTTTGGTCATCAAAGTTTATTATTTTGCATAAAAGCACGCCTTGTTAAAATCAACAGGGTGCCATGGCTGGGATCACTGTTTAAAATTGGAGTAACTTGGCGTATCATGATTCATCTAAATGAATCCACGCACGGTTTAATTCATCTTTTTGCAATTATATTATATATAGGCAAAAGAGGATTATCACCTGATAAACGATTGGTCACCTATTGTACCTATGATGTAACCTACGAGACATATAAGAAATAATGGATCCCTTTTAATGTAACAAGTGACACCGCCTAAACAATGTACAATTGCTCATATCCGTATGTATCTTACGCAAATATGTTCAGCAAAAGAAAATATCATCTGTGCAATACAAGAAAATATATTTTACTTTTTTGTGATTTTATAACATGGGGTCTATGAGGATCTCCCTAAACAAGAAATCACATTTTCCCAAAAAATTAAATTTTCAAAGTTGATGAACAATTTTCAAAACCCTCTTTCTAGATGTACTTTTATATGTAGACTTAAAATATGACATCACTTTTACTGAATTTTGAATATTTAATGACGGAAATCAATTATTTCTACTCGCATCTAGTCTGTTGATTATACCTGTTAATCGTACAATCCTCAAAGAGGCATTTCTCTTATCAAATTCTTCCTGACTTTTCCTCTGAGCTTCTCTTAATATCCAGTCGTTCTCAACTTCATGTTCTATCGCGTTTACTATATTAGTTTCAGCGTCTTGGTCTCCGTTTTCTTGTGCTAAAGACCCCTTCCTCGCCATCTTCCGCATGACGCTCTTTCGTCGGGCTATAGTGCCCATTATATCATGAAATCCCTGGTGAAGTTTGAAGATTTTCGGGCCACTGCTATCGGAGACTTTCGACAGTCTCCGAATTGAATGTCTCCGTCTAGGGGAGAGTTCGTTGGGATTAGATCCTTGGCTTGGGATCCTTGGAGAATGGGATCCGGTGATCGAATTGGTCCTTGCACTTCTAATGCTATGTGCTCTCGTCGTTGTCCTTGTAGGGGACAACAATTCGTCATCCATTTCATCAGTTTCATCAAATTCAGAGCCATCTGGAAACTCGTACCCAGTAAATGTATCATCATCAGGGCCGGGTGAAAGTTCGAATTGTACACTCGGTCGAGCTCTACGGCGTTGATTGGTGTTGTATTCTAACTTGGATTTTAGAGTCAATTTGCTCATACGCTTCAATGGGAGATCTCCTACATTGTTCAGTGATAAATTGCTCTCAGCCTGAGTCATAAACGATCTTTCCTTGTGTAAGTTCCCTCGTTTGAGTTGTACACCATCAAGGCTGGACATGGATTTAGACAATCCATTTCCCTGTCCCCCGCGAGATTTACCCCGACTCTCGAGTGTACCCACTGTTCCCCTCGATTTCCCCCTACTTTCCAAAATCCCAGTAATGCCCCCACGGGAATTCAACTTGATGACCTCTTGCTTGACCAAGCGACCTAGTACCCTACTCCGTCCAAGATGGGCCAGGTCTTCGGCTCGTGGCTTTAGTTTATGTTTTGACTTTCTTCTTTTCTTTCCCTTGCTAAAGAATTGTCCTTCCGCAATATTCTGAACGGCCACCGACATTTTCCGTTTGTGATGGAGCTTGTATATAAATGAATAAGGCTCAAAATTATTCTACAAACGCATCTTCTTGTAAAGTAGAATGGTTATTGTAAATTATTAAATTATTTATAAATTCCTGGTTTATTTTGTTAATCCATCACCCAGACTTTATCCTTTGCTTTGTTTATATTTGTCATCCAGGTATGGTGTACTAAATGATCTGTTTCAATGTTGATATCGTCTACTTCAGTTGCTTGTAATACGTTCACTATATCCGCACTACCAACAGTTCATAGCTCTATGCTTATACCGTCGCTTAGGAGGTTAATCTCCTTTGTAATATTTCCAAAATTTTATTCAAAGTCAGAAATGTTCTTTTGAATGGAAAAGCCGTCATAATAAGATCACGCCTAATTTGGCCAGAAAATATGGGATTGAGAAAGGGGATCAGCATAAGATTACCGAACAACCCTTTTCTATGTAGAAATTCTGACATCAAGGCAGATTGTTTACTTTGGATATCATGGGGTAAAAATAGCAAAACCCAAAAGGGCAGTGACCCCACTCTAATGTGAAAGAAAACGTGCAGTTGTGAACTAGGGACACTCTTGAACACTCAACGCGTGTGTTCACATCACAGTCATGTTAGTCATATAAATCTGACCCTCGTATGATGTTATTAGTTGTTATTTTTTCTGATTTGGATATTTATTTTTTCTTATTTTCTTGCATACAAGGGTCATACACACTCCGCGCATCTAAATTGCGGGAAATGCTTTCCTGGCCTGTCTACCCAACCAAATTCACACAAATGATAAATAAATGTCTTTGCTTCAACTATAAAGTATTTAATCTTACCTTAGACACGTAAAACGCTTGGTAATTGAAGAAATATAAGCATGCCGCTTGAATTTTAAAATTTTTTCATTTTGCCATGCCAAGGTCACTTCCGGGTTAATCTGAGTCTAGATGTAAAACTATATCAAACGAAATCATAAGTACTTGTTACACGAAGATTCAGTTGAAAGGGAAGCAGTGTCGTTAAGAAGGGAAGTTATTTGGAAAAGTTATTGTTTCAAAATGAGAAAAGTAAGAGAACGGCTTTGGAATCGATCTCTGTGTCATAAATAATTATGATTCCGTTTCGATACATGTTTTACATTTAGACTACCGGAAACAGCATTCAGCAACATGGCGGGCGATAATGAAAATATAATTCAATTGATCATATTTCGTCAATTATCAAGCGTTTTACATGTCTAAGGTAAGATTTAACACTTTAATGTTGGAACTAAATAATTACTCGATAATTTGTGTGACTTTGGTTAGTATGGTAACTATGGTTACCGAGACAGGCCAGAAAAGCGTTTACCGCAATTTGTTCCATATAATATCTACGACGGTGTATGCAAAGAAATGATAAAAAATAAATATCCAAATAAGAACAAGGAATATCGAAGAACAGCATACAACGGTCGGATTTATATGACTAAGTCATGTAGTCTAGATCGGCGTATTTTTCCTTCACATATGAAATTCTAAAACATACGTTTGGACATATAATTCTAGGATGAAAAAACAACTTCGAATTCATCCTAATTATAACACGCGGTCCTAACTTCGACCGTTAATTTGAATTTTTGACCTTCCGGATGTTTGAAAATCAAGGATTACGAGTCTCATACTGCACCGTTTTTCTTCAATCTTGTTCCATTCAAAGCATAACACAAATCCCTTTCTGATGGTACATTACTCTCTTCAACAGAGTCCCTACTTCCCGAGGCATTTTGGTCCCCAGCTGTAAGAAGGCCTTCTAACAGCTGGGGACCAAAACGCTGCTAGAACGAAGGACTCTTTACAATAAAGTAATGCACCGACAGAAAGGCAATTTTGTTCTGCTTTTAATGCATGGTATAGGTTTGAAGAAGAACGGTGCAGTATGAGACTCGCAATCCTTGATTTTCAAGCACCTGGTAGGTCCAAAATTCAAATTAACGGTCGAAGTTAGAACCGCGTGTACAAATGATTATAGAATTATAAGAAAAATATTAGTCGCATTTCTACTTTGGATGCGCATTATGTATCAAACCGCTGTCATACTGTATTATTAGTTTGTTTTGAAATGAGTGTGAAAAACAGCATGACACTTTGTTCTGATTAATCAAATCTCCTTAATCAATATAAACTGAATAGATTGCTATCCTGATTGTTTAAAGCAATGTGTTTTAATGTCCAAACTTTTGCAGATATTTTAACCTGTGAGCTCGGCATACTATACAAACTAACTTTACTTCCAGCAGCTATAGCTCGTTACTATACCTAATATTGTACATAGGTATTTCTGTCATTAGCCGATACTGATTTCTATACGTTTTTTATTTATTTAAATATAATTATGATGTATAGTAACTAATGATATTTTATGATTTATATGGCAGTGGCTCCATTTTGTTATTTCATCTAGCATTCAAAATTGCATCACAGGACAGGATGGGAAAGCTAACACATGCGACGGATTATCTACAATACGTTATCTGTAAATTGTAAGTCGTGTAATAGTATAATAATCACCCATTTGTAACTCAGCACAGATGACTCCGTGGCGCAACGGTAGCGCGTCTGACTCCAGATCAGAAGGTTGCGTGTTCAAATCACGTCGGGGTCATGTAAACTTTTTGAAACCGTTATCAGCATTATTAGTTAAGTTTGCCTTTTGTATATTCCCCTACTATTACACCAAACTAGTTCTCACTACGTTCTCGAAAACGGGCTTTAACTGTGTACGAACGGACTGGACGTACTTAGAACCGTTTAGGGTCTATTTACAAACTTCAACGAACGTACTCGAACGGGTAGGTCCTCTAGAGCTTAGAACATGCTCAAAATGTTCTCGTGGTAACTGCGTTCTTCAAAACTGGTTTTAAACTGTGTGCGAACGGAATGAACGTAGCTACAACGTTCTACGGTCTGTTTACGAGTTTCATGGACTTTCCCGGACGGGAATGTGATTAAAAATTTTGAATCGATTCAAAATTCGATGGCGACCATACCGTTCTGTAATCAGGTCATGATGACCTTCTAGACTAAGGGACGCGTTATACGACGTTGCACACCGACGTGGTGCGACCTGAACGAACTGCGAATGAGATGGACGTATTGAAGACTGTTTATGAACGAAGTAGCTAAATAATTTAGACATATTTCCCGACCAGAGCCAGATTGAGCCCTTTTTACGACGTTTTAATTCGTAGGACTGGCAAGAACGGGTAAGAACTAGTTTGGTGTGATAGGGGGGTTAGTAATGCCTCTGTCACCGTTGACTCTACCGCAACCGTACAGCTGACGTAGCTCGTTTCACATAATTGAGAAATATGCAGCATGAAATATAATGATAAGCAGTTATCCCGTACCAGGACTATAGTCCTGCGAACGTCTTATTTTTTTGCCTGTACGATTACAACGTAAACATGGGAGAATTTTCTACGCTTCCTACACTGAAGATACCCATTTCAATAGATTCCTTGGTATTTTAGCATTCTTTTCGTGTAGTTGAATCCAGTTTGGCACAAAGAGAACGCTTATGTGGCTGGAAAAGACTGGTGAGAAGATTTGTTTTGTAAAATGTATAAAAAACGATTTCTGAATTTTTCACTGAATTTTCATGTTTTTTATACATTTTATCAAAATATTCTTCTTCTTTTCATTCTTTTCTAGGTACATTAGTGCACTCGTTACATGCAAAGGTGAGAGATGTAGTCATAGTAGGGAAGGAATGATTGAAATTTGAAAAATAACATGTGATAATGAGAGTTGCAGCAAAATTCCGAACATGCATTCTGATTGCGTATAAGATAATGAGGGAAAGAGTTGTATTGAGGTCACCATATAAATCAATGGAGAGTAGGACCATAATTTGATAGGACCTCCTACCCTTTTACACCGGGTCCGGTCAAAAAGACAAAAACAAAACGGTTCAAAAATTACCATATTAGCAAAATGGCAGTTCCCACACCGGGAATCGAACCCGGGCCACGGCGGTGAGAGCGCCGGATCCTAACCACTAGACCATATGGGAGTGAGCTGGAGGTCAGGTAAGGGAATGTGGATTTTGTTATAAAAAACTTAGCATATCTTGAACAACTGAAACTTTATGAATTAGATTATAATTTTTCAAAACTCACACGCCTTATGATAAGCAGTATGTAATAGAGTGCGGAAAAGCACAAAACCAGTGATAACAGCTTTGATTTCATTCAATGCACCATAAAGCCATGTGTCTTCTCTTCACAATGATATATCATTCATTAATATTTGGTCATGGTTGGGCGAGTAATCATTCCATTTGTAAAGTGGGCCAAAATTAGCTTCGGGCCAAGTTATGAACATTGCAAAAGTCAGTGTACGGGCCGATGCAATATTGGACGAAAATATAAAACCAATGCTGACTGTATCCTTTTAATTCAATGTACCAAAAGCCAAATTACTCCTCTTTGTGATGGAATATCATTCATTCACAGGGAGTGATCTCTGCCCGAATAATCATTAATTTTGCAAAGAGGGCAAATTTCAGCTCGGACCCAAGTTTAAAACATTGCAAAAGTCAGTACAAGGGGGGCATAGGGGCTATTGGAAGAAGGTGTGACAGGTATGGCATAGACAGTAAACTGTTCATACTCATACTCTTGCAAGAAAACATCCTATACCCCTCCAACTTGCCACCACTTCCTTGCACATAAAGATGCGCTCATCTATCCACGTCATGCATGGATCAGCCCTGAAGTATGTGTGGGTTAAAGCAAAGAAAAGCAGCCCATGGGCAAATCTTTCTCGAGGTTTTGCAATATCTGGTGGAGGAATTGTGAGCACAGATGCTCCTGAGATAGCTCCAAAAGAAAAAGTCACATTCAAGGCAGGGGAACTTCCATTGGAACTTAGCCCTTGCACTGATTTTTTCAATATCTAAAACTTGGTGCAGAGAAGATTTTGACCCACTGTGCAAATGGAAGGATTTCTCACCCAACCATTACCACATGTGAATGAAAGACATATCATTGCAAAGAGGAGAGACGTGGCTTTATGGTACATTAAATGAAATTGATATAGTTATCACTAGTTTTGGGATTTTACGAGATAACCACTTGTTGCTTTTTTATACACCCTGTATATTTTCTATATAATGATTATGCTTACAGTTACTTATTCAGGAAAACTCACACGCCTTATACATCTATGATGATAAGAAATATATAATATGTTTTCTATACAATGATTATGCTTACAGCTCCTCATTCATTGTGTGGAAGAGAGCATGAAAAGTGTTGCA